TTATTTTTGCACTTTTAAAAAAAATGAAAAAAAAAATGAAAAATGAAGGTCTGGGGCATATACCCGGCCGGGCATCTCATTTAATCTGGTCGGGTTAGGGTAAAAATGTGATACCCGCCCCATCACCCGGGCGAGGTTGACCAAGAAAACAAAAAAAATAAATCCCACCCGACCGGGTACCTCATTACACCCGACCGGGCGTGACCACAAAAAAAAAACTACTGCCACCCCGGGTGAAACGCCCGACCGGGTACACTACCCCACCCGGCCGGGTATCTCGAGTTTTTGGAAACCAGACCATTCTTCAAAAAAAAAAAAAAAAAAATCGCCCCATTCTTCTTCCCAAAATTCGAACCCAAAAATCTCCATAGTTACAATTTCACACCTCAACCATCCACCAAATCCACAAACTAAACACATACTCTTCTTATTCTCTCCACTTTTTTTTCATTTCTTTTCCAACAAAACCCACCAAATTTCCCAAAAATCCGAATTCCCTAACTCCACCTACACCAAGTCAGAATTTTGCTCAACCAACAAAGAAAGAAATGGCACCACAAAAAGGGTTCATCTTCTATGACGTCTTGAAGATGAGCACTAGGGACAGTGCTTTGGCTAGCTTGGGGGGAGAGTTTTATGGACTACTCGCATTCATACTCTTTATTCTTGTTAAAAAAAAATGTTCAAAAAAAAAAAGAATAAAAAGCTTGTTAAGTTGAAAACCTGAAAAGGCAACTTAAGCAAAAATAAAGCAAAAATAAGAGTGAGTTGTGAGGATTGACACAGAAAAATGTGGGAAGCTGGGATGAAAACCCGAAAGGGCACCTAGGCAAAACGAGAGAATGAGAGAAAGTATTTTCTTTTATTTCTGCAGGATCCTAAGGGTAACAATGAAAAAAAAATTGAGGTTGATAAAAAAATGTGGAGTTGAAGACCCCTCTTTACTCTTATATTTTTGGGGATATTTTTTGTGTTGTTCTACAAACACACGTGGATGTTGGTGTTGATACTCTTGTCATTTTAAGGACTTCTTGGGCTGGATTTTGTTTACTCGAGACGAGTAAAGGTTCAAGTGTGGGGGTGTTTGATATGCACTAATTAGTAGTGCATAAGTGTATGTTTTTATGTTTGATTTGTGTGGTTTGTTTACCGTTTTATTTAGTTTGTAAACATTTGTGTGATTTTAGTTGTAATTGTATTTTAATCTTCATTTGTAAGTTGTAAAGTAGAGTTAGGAATTAGGGTATTGAAAAGGAGGACTTTGAAGTGAAGAAAAATAAGATTTGGCTGCCCAGAAGCACAAACCCGACCGGGTACAATACTTCACCCGGTCGGGTATGACAAAGAATCAGAAACTGCTGAGAAAGTCACTAGACCCGGGCGGGTCACTTATTTGACCCGGTCGGGTCAGATGTGACCCGGAACACCAGAACATGCCGAAGATCGCCAGAACGTGGGAAATATTTGATTTTGACGTTGACCCGGTCGGGTATGTCTTTTTACCCGGGCGGGTCAATGCCCCAGGGTGTTGAAAACACCTATAAATAACCCCATTTTCCTTCACAAATGAGAACTCATTCTTCCATACTCTTAAGCTCAGTTTAGAATAGTATTTCTTTTATATTTTTATAGCATGTTTAGTCTCCAAATGAGGAGCTAAACTTCCATTTCTTGGTGTTGCTCTTGAAGCTTGTTGATTATTAAAGTTGTGAGTTATTTTCTTATCTTCTTCCCTTGAATATTAATTATTCTCTTAATCTATCTATATATTAATGTTGGGGAGTGTTGCTAAGATGACAATTAGTAAACATCTCGACATTAATTATGGTAGTATTTATTTTCTTCCTCTATATATTAATGTTGGGGAGTGTTGCTAAGATGACAATTAGATAACATCTTGACATTAGTTATAATAGGATTATTCATATTTAATCTTCTTCCTTGAATATTAATTCTTCCCTTAATCTATCTCTATATTAATGTTGGGGAGTGTTGCTAAGATGACAATTAGTTAACATCTCGACATTAATTACTACTAGAAACGATCAACGAACCGATGGTTAATCGTTGATGGCTTCACAAGTAAGTAACTTCGGTTTATTAATGCACGGTCGTGGTTAATAAACTTAAGAGGGATTAATTTTGTTGGTTAAACCGAAACCGTTGTGTTGAGGTTATCAATCTCAATTGATTTCATCAAGGAGTTAAGAGATTAAATGCTACTATTAAGTCGGTATATGACGGTGTTCTATACTTGACTAATAGTAAGGGTTATTAATGAACGGTCGTTGTTAATAGCTACCCTCGATGAATTGGATATACTCCTAGATTGAGTATTCGAGAGGGAATAAGTTATAGATATAACAATGATCGACTAAAATATATCAACAAGTGGAAAGTAGCAATGCCAAGTCCTTTTTATCTTTGAATTAAATCACATATAACTCGTTCATCTTAGTATTTAATTAATTAAATTCCAACAATATCAAAACCCCCCTTTTATTCACTAGTTCATAAAAAGAGAATTATTCCTTTCCCTGTGGATACGAACTCTACTACACTATACTACGTATAAGTGCTAGTATTGAATTTATTTTGACGCACCGTGACAAAGTGCACGTCATATCACAACATTCAGATAGGGAGTAAAACGACAAAAGCACTACAAGCAACCACCAGCTCTCGAACCAAACTTAGAGTCAATCACCTTAAAAAAACAAAATGACTCGTTGATCCTATAATGAGCGAATGAGCCAAAGACGGTTAAAGTAGGTCTCCCATCACCCAATCCTAATGCAAGAGTTTTATAACAATAAAAGTAACCAACGGAAAAATAATCTTTAAAAATAAATAACAAGCAAACAGTAAAATTAAAATGTCGCTTCCAAACCCTAGACTTTCTCCCCAATTCCATGGCAGTGGTTCAGGAGGGGGGCTGATGGATAGTCTACCCGGGGGGTATCTTATCCGAAGGGTTATTGCGGAAATAACTTAGAGAGAAGTCATAGCAAAATAGGAGGAGAGAGAGTCGATTTTATTAAATGAACTCAGAGTGTTGAGATGTGGATCTCGGATCGCTTACAAGGAGAAATGGGCTGCTATTTATAGCAGCAATAAATGCGACGAGAGTACACGTGTCAGTAATCCAACGGCCGAGGGGTCACATCAATCGGGGTGGCACCAGCAGTGGCATGTTCACCGCATTGAATGCGGTGGGTGGATGTGACGTCGCATTAAATGCGATGATTGGCTGTCTCCTAAGGGAATCTTCGATGATTGAGTCTGTTTAGCCGAAGGTTCTTCATGCAGCCGAGGGCTTCACGCAGCCGAGGACTCTGTGTAGCCGAAGGCTTCTCTGATGCCGAGGGCTCAACAGTGCCGAAGGCTCCTGTTTTCTGCCGTTTTCTCCCAGTAGCTTTGTATGCCCAAATAAGGCTATCCTGTGAGTTTTGGAGCCTTCGGCCAAGGAGGCCGAAGGCACCCCAGTGTGTACTTTGGGCTTCTTTGAGACTCGGGCCGCTGTATTTGGGCCTCAGATGTTCCTTGGGCCCAATGGGCCCGGGTGGGGAAAGTAGGAGTCTATGGGCCGGGGGTTCCTGGGCCATATACTCCATCAGGGACGATCCAACAGTATTGTAGCCGCTTTCTCGCTTTGCCTCTTGTTCATTATGTTCTCTACCAAGTCTCCTTCGTCACCAGCTATCACGACTGACTTCAAATCCAGATCTGTTCCAGCCTCTAGCCCCACGATTCGTCCATGACCTTTCGGCCGCTGGAGACCAAACATCATCTTCCCCCGCTTAATCTCACCCAAAAAAAAAAGAAAAATAGCCGCACAATTGATGGCAGAATAAGAAACCATGTACGCCTATGCATCGGCCGTTACAAACGATAGCGGAGGAAAAAACCCTAACAAATGATTTGTTACTTAAAAATTATACTCCATCCATCCCGCTAAGATTGCCTCATTTTACCTTTTCGGGAAATCGCACTAAGATTGTCTCATACCAAATTTGATAAAGTTTGCGTGACTCTAAATTACTCATACTTTATTTTTACTTTAATAATTTAATATAAAACACACAAACTTATTTTTCTTCACAATCGTGCCAACTTATTAACACTTGCTACCGGAGGTAGCAAGTGTTAATTATTTGTCAAAAATAGAAATATGTAGCATGACCGGAGTATTTCGAAAATTCAAGGAGTATTTTTTTTTTTCAGAATTGAAAAGTGGGATTGAGGTAGGGCTGGGTCCGAAAAACCGAAAACCGAAAACCGAATCAAATTAAACCGAACCGCAACCAAATAAAACAGAACTGCTAAGAAACCGAAACCGAATGTAAAAAACCGAACCGAACCGAAGTTGTTCGGTTCGGTTTTGATTTTTACCCTTCAAAACCGAACCGAACCGAACAAACCGAACTATTTAAAATATGAAATTTATATGTTAATTGTTAAGCATTAATTCTAATTAATCTTAATATCATCAATAGTCTTTGGTTTTCTTGTGTTAGAGAAATAATGTTTGTGTTATGTTTAATTTAATTTAGTTTATAAATTCATTTACACATTCATTGTCTGTAATAATAGCTATATTGAATGATGATCATATGTGTTTACTGTATCACATAGAACATATTTATTCATGAACAATTTTCAAACTACTCACAAACAAATTAAATCAATAACATATACAGTTTTATCTATCTCGCATACTCATATAATTCAAGACATATTTATCTCTTCTCATTTTTATTTTATTTGTCGTTGTATTGTGCTTGAATTCTTTATGTAATATGTTTGATCCCTCTAAGTATTATATCAATTTTAAATCAAGTGAAAAAATTTTGGTAAAAAAACCGAAAAAACCGAAACCGAACCGAAACAAACCGAACCAATCAAACTGTGGTTCCAAGTTTTGGAGTGTAAAACCGAACCGAAACCGAACCGAACTTTTTACTTTGATTCTACATTTGGTTTTAGGTCAAAACCGAACCGCAAGAACCGAACCCACCCCTAGATTGAGGGGCTCGTCGACGAGAGCCTCTGCTATGGCGACCAGTGGGGATATCGGTTCAAGTGGCGGCAGTGCGGCCGGTTCTTCTGCTCGCTGCGTCGGATTTCGGAGCTTTCCGCAGGCTCAGCAACCGGAGATTATGAGAGCTGCTGAGAAGGATGAGCAGTACACTCTCTTCGTATATGAATCCTGCCGTGATGCATTTCGTCACCTGTTCGGTTCGTTTCTCTCCTTCTCCTTTGTTACTTATCAACTACGGAGTACTTTATACTTTTTCTAATTTATTGGCCCTCTTTATTCGGTTCTTCCCCAGGTACAAGGGTTGCGTTATCTTACCAGAATGAGGTAAACCTTCATATACTAGTATGATACGGTACTATATGACGCATTGGCATGTGCACAATCATTCAGACATTACGTGATTGCTTTTAGAAAGAAATACTCCCTTCATCCCTTGTCATTCTTACACATTGTTGCACATTCTTGGTAAAGAATTTGTGGTTCCCCCCATTTCTTCCACATTCTTATACATTTCTGTCTCCTCGGTGTAACTCTCAGCCAGACAATTCTCACTTTCTTAATTCCCGTGCAAAACCCACTTTAGAAGATAAGTGGGTGGGTGACAGAGGTAGAACATAAATATATTTCCCCACATTTTGAGCTCTTTCGTTAACACCAAAATTGGTTGAGACCCCATATCGTAACATTGAAATTGACTGAATAAGTTTATTATGTTGAAATTGATGAAATTTTGGCTGAATTGGCTAAATCTACGGGATTGTGGAAAAAATATGTTTAAAATATATTTTACCAATGAAGTAAAGAAAAAAATTATGAAAGTAGCTAAAATGGTTCTCTAAAAATTTCAACCTTAGTTTTTTTATAATTACAATATTCATCATGCGAAATCAAAAGTTACATATTTACTAATACTGAAAGGGTTAATAAACGGGCTTCAAATATGTTGAACTGAAATTTGTTGAATTTGGTGAAATTACAATCTAAACTGTTGAATTGTGAAAATGTTATTTTTAAAATATAAATATAAGGAAAATTATCGTAATAGGAGTAAAAACATTTGAGAATTCCAGTGGTGTTATGTCTCTTTCCCCAAATAAGAATGCATTACTATCAGCTTTAAAATTAATTACACTATTCAGCATATGAAATCAAAAGTTACATGTTTACTACTACTGAATGGGTTAACAAACGGGCTTCGAATCTGCTGAACTGAAATTTGTTGAATCTGTTGAAATTGGTGAAATTACGATTGAAATTGTTGAATTTACTGAATTGTGAAAATGTTATTTTTAAAATATAAATATAAGGAAAATTATCGTAATAGGAGTAAAAACATTTGAGAATTCCAGTAGTATTATGTCTCTTTCCCCAAATAAGAGTGCATTACTATCATCTTTAAAATTTACTTTTACTATCATCTTTAAAATTTACTGCCATGTTCTGGCATTATCAGTCTTTAAATGTGACATTATTTTCTAAAGTTACTAATAATTACTCCTATATAGGAAATAAAAACATAACACTTATATTTTGGAATTTTCAAACATTATTACACCTATTTAGGGATTATTTTTAACAAAATAAAGAAAAAGTAGCTAATATAGTCCTTTTTAACGATTTCAATCAGAAATATAGCTCCAACCTTACTTACTCTGATTATTATAAAAATCTGCGTGTGAAATCAAATGTCATGTTAGGTAAAAAAGGTGTTTGATCCGTTGATGAGACTGATTAGCTGAAAATAGGGATTACCGGCTTGGCCGTTCGATCTTTCAACTTTGAAGTATGAATGTATGATTAATTAGAAGACATAACTGAGCAAAACTCTATGTTTTTTTATAGTTGATTTCTCAATATCGATTTTACAATATGAGTGTATCTGTATATGACATGACCATAGCAACTGTACCAACTCATCAACGCCTCGTCATATTTTCATGCACGTAAAATGATTTGATGATAATGACAATTAATGTTTTTGAATTTCATCTTTAAAATATTGAAACATGAAGGGCATCCACTTAAAACATTACTACTATACTTTTTTTTGCATGAATTTATAGTGTTAAGTGATTTGGATCATTAATTCGCAGTGTAAGTTTATAGAGTTAACTGAATTTAATGGTATAAATAATGGTGAATCAAGAATACAATCCTGAGTAACTGGAGCAGTTCTGCCATTTGACTTCCATGGGGTTTTTGTGTTCTGCAGACAAAACTTCTTGGACAAATGCTTTACTTTTTACTCACAACAGGTGCGGGAAAGCAAACATTAGGAGAAGAGTACTGTGACATCACACAGGTGTGGGTCATAATAAACCTTAACCAGACATTTGTTTCCTTTTTGTTTCTTGTTTCTACTCTTTTAGTTCATGGCCTTGACTTAGATTGATATAACTGCTAATATTTTGGATGCACCCATTATAAGGCTCGTGCACCGTTGTTTATCCTTTGATAAGAGCTACTAAAGCAAGTTTTCTACCACATTCATCCTGGAACTTGTCTTTTGCTCCCCATATCCCATAATAATGTAAGATACGTTTTGGTTTGGGACACTTTTAGTTATTAATTAAGGATATAAAGGCCGTGTTGGCCGATTTACAAGTGTACCTTTTTGGAGAAAGAAGACAAGGGATGTTGCTGGGTGAGGCGTACTGTGCGGGAAATTAGCATTATAGTTGGGTATATGATAGGAACCCGGGCCTAATAGACTAATAACAATAAAATGGGACCGGGCCTATTAGAGTATTAATAATAATAAGTGTATTAGTCTAGTATAAATAGAAGATAGCAGGGAGGAGTTGAGGAGGGCTTTTAGGACGGATAGTCTTGGGACTTGGGAAGATACGAGACTGAACATCTCTATCTTTTGGGGCTTCGGCTTTGGGAGGCTTCGGCCTTGGTTACTGTCTTCTCCTGTAATCGATCACCTTCATCAATAAAATTCTCATCAGTTTTTCTTGTCAATCTTTCCATAAATCTTCTGAATTTCTGGAGGTCTCTAACATTGTTATTAGAGCAAACGATCTTGTTACCTGTAGGAACGATGGAAAATTGGGAGCGCAATTTAGAGAAGATGAACGAAGATACCAGACGGATTTGTGAAGAGAGGCGCAAATTAAGCTTGCAAAGAAATAATCGGCGTTCTGATAAACCATCGCAGTCGCTCAACAAGTCGCGGAAAATTAGGGAAGTTCGCAGAAAAGGTTGAGCGCGAGAATGTGGAGAAAGAGAAGCGCAAAAAATGGAGAAAGAGAAACGCAAAAAAGTGGAGAAAGAGAAGTGCGAAAAGGTGGAGAAGGAAAAGCCTTCAAACCTGGAGAAAGGGAAGCCCAAGCTGCGGCAACATCGTCGGCGAGGAAGGTCGAGGACTGTGCGTCGCTGCATGAATTCGAAAAACAAAGGTCCGTTGCAGTCGCAAGATACTTATTCCGGTCCTCTGGCTTCAATTGGAGTAGAAAACCCTAGTTCAAAATCTCTAGCTGAGTTTCCAGTGTCGCAGCAGGAGTTGACTATTCAGCAGCACACCTATGGAGAAGAGGAACGCAATGAGAAGCCATCAGTTAATCTTCAATCTGAAGATGGAGCAATTGTTGGATTCCCCAGACGTAAGATTTTTTCCAAGAACGATCTGGATCAGTCAGACCTTGAAACCAATAGGTTCAAGCTTCTTCAGGTAGACGACATTTCTTCTCATCCTATGCAGCAGATGAAATGGAAAAATATCTGGAAGACTGAAATGATGTGTTGTCAGTCATTGGACAATACACTGGAAAGATTAAATAAGTTTGATATTCCTAGATTGGAAGGGGTTACTTTTTTGAAAAATATACAAAAGAAATTGGTGAATTATATGTCCATGAAGAAGTATACAATTTTGGTTGGCTGGAAGAAGTATACAGGTTACGAAGCAAGAATTAGTGCTCTAGATATAGTGGTGGAGGTAAATGAGAGGGCAGATCAAGGAATGACAGATTCTACAGACATGTTGTTACACCACTGTGTAATTTCCACAAACCATGGAGATTGGGAAATAGCTAGAAGATTGTGTGAAGGAGAGTTCACATGTGTGGAAACAGACTGCTTATTATTTTCCTTGGAAGAAACAAGGGGTATATTCATAGCAGTTTGGGAAGTGGTGTGTCTGTACGCTATATAGGACATTTGACTGAAATTCCTCCCAAAAGCAAAGATACTGGATTGAAATGGACAGAGAAGTTGGCTTTTGGCAGCATTGTAGAGGGAAAAGTTCCGATGACTACCCTACTTAGAGGCTCACCCAAATGTTTGACTAACGTTGATGATGATTGTAAGTCCTACTACTCATTAGGCAAAGAATATCTGGCAGAATTTCCTTGTGACAGATTGTTATCCACATTCAAAATAGCAGTAGATTCTTATTTGGAAGCTTCAGTTATTACCTCTGAAATTGTTGTTCCTTCTGTTCTTCTTATCAGTCCCAGGAAATACATGACCGATGCTGCAATTTCAAGAAGTGAAGCAACTGAAAACCGAGGACTTGCATTATACTCTGAAGCAAGAGCTACTAGCAAATGGAAGATTGAGCAGAAGGTGATGAATGAAGATCAGTACCAGCAGGAACAGAAGCACCTGAATAGTATGGATGCTTTGAAGGGAGAAGATCTAGTGCTGTTTTTGCTGGAAGTGAGGATGAAGATTCACCAATGGAAACTCCTTGACCAACCTACAGTCATGTATTGGGAAGGAAGAGGAGCAAGGAAGAAGAAGAAGAAGCAGAAGATTGTGGCTTTCTCCTATTACCCACCTTGAGGACAAGGTGGATGTTTTGGGGGGAAGTATTGATAGGAACCCGGGCCTAATAGACTAATAACAATAAAATGGGACCGGGCCTATTAGAGTATTAATAATAATAAGTGTATTAGTATAGTATAAATAGAAGATAGCAGGGAGGAGTTGAGGAGGGCTTTTAGGACGGATAGTCTTGGGACTTGGGAAGATACGAGACTGAACATCTCTATCTTTTGGGGCTTCGGCTTTGGGAGGCTTCGGCCTTGGTTACTGTCTTCTCCTGTAATCGATCACCTTCATCAATAAAATTCTCATCAGTTTTTCTTGTTAATCTTTCCATAAATCTTCTGAATTTCTGGAGGTCTCTAACAGTATATGAAAAGATGCCGAACTGGACCTGGAGCACGAGCTTTATAATATACGACATGAATTAAAAATAAAAAATCTATATAACTCAATGGTTCAGTATAGGTACATATAGATACAATTGTGGATATATATTTATGTATTGACTTTTGAACTATTTTATTGAAATTTCATCAACTTAAAACTAAATATTTTATTAGCTTTGGGTCCTGATGACCTGACCTTGCAAAAGTAGATGCATTCCTACAATAACCCTTTGTATCATGAAAACTCTCGGGAAAGAGTACATTTCTGTTTCGGAAACTCTACACAAACTCTTTGGAGACTCTCCAAACAGTTGTTTTTCGAGTAAAAGATGACGTTTCACGTTTCCCGTTTCCTCATGATTTTCACGTTTCCCGTTTCCTCATGATTTTCACGTTTCCAGTTTCTTCATGATTTTTACGTTTCCGTGCAACATAACAATAAGTCAATAACCCAAAATGCGATCAATTGTTTTGGCCTGTGTCTGTGTTTTAAAATCTAGTGCTGTTTTTTGTGTGATTCCCCCATTGCTGGTGGGGGGAAATGTGTCTGTTTGCCATGGCCTGACATTCTATAGTCCATGTTACTCATAACTACTTTTGAATATGAATGACCCATCATGAATTGGTTTTAGGTTGCAGGACCATTTGGCCTTCCTCCAACTCCAGCAAGACGTGCTCTTTTTATCTTTTATCAAACAGCTGTTCCATACCTTGCCGAAAGAGTCAGGTAATATTTTCTTTGACTGTTGACGTTGTATTGATTTATAATTCCTTTTTCCTTGGTCATTTCAATGTTTCTTATATGTTTAAGGTAAATAAGATTTGACTGTTTGTAGCTCTAGACTTGCTTCCCAAGCCATCACCATGGATGATCGGTTTGATGACGGTTATCCGTTTGGTGTTATTTCTGGCTCAAGTGGACGAGTCGAAGCATCCACAGCTATTGTCGCTGCATCTTCATCATCAAGAGAATGCATGTCAGTTCTATCAAGGTTGAAGGCAAATATAAGACAATGTTGGCTATATGCAGTTCAGAGGTGGCCCTCAGTATGCTCCCTTCTGTATAAATTATTTGTTACATTAGTAAAGTATATTTTATTAAACACATAATGTGAAATGCAAAAAAGACAACGTGTTAAACCTTCCAGGGTTGTTCAACCAGTTCGTACCCAGGAGCAAAAGTTATTTGAGGTCACTAATTCGAATCCCTTGGGCTACTGAAGGTTCACATAGTCACTAACTTCAGGGCCCGTGGGATTATTCTTTCTAAAAATGGCATGAACATCAATGTCATAAAAAGTCAATGTGTTGCAACTTAAAAAAAGAATGGGTGGAGTATTTGTCTACATATATCATGGCTTCAAAGGCAAATAAGAGGTGCAATTTGAGACGCGCCTCAAGGTGAGGCAGTCAGAATGGTGTTATGAGCGTGGTTGGGATCACATTTCAGGGAAAAGGGAAGGGAAATATGGTGAATAAATTAAGCCTAAGCACTAATTAATCAGTGGCCAAACTTGTCAACACACACGAGAATTAATATTTCGGTGCTCAACTGAATAAAATCAAGCAAGAAGTGTTTTGCTCAAGGGATAAGTAAGAAAAGAGAAGAAATTATGGAGGTGGATGATGATAATAGTATGATTTTGTGAACTATTATTATCATGTCGTGTTTGTTTCTGAGAATTTTTGGACTTATAATTATGCATGTCTTCAGGAAGATTTTATTTGTTTGTATATTTTGAGGCTTATGTCTCAATGCGCCTCAAGGCTTATGTCTCGGCTCTCCAATACAAACCTCCTTGATACCTGAACTAGCCTTTTTCGACCTTAATATATGTAGAAAAATTCAAATGCAAACTACTCTTGTAATGAAAAAAGATAACGACACCAGGTTTTCATTAAAAAGTAAGGTGAAATCATCACAGTTGTGGAATTTCAGTGTGGAACAGTGAATTATTAAAAGTTCATTGTTGTATACACAAGAACGCACTAGGTGTGTATGTATTACACTATAAACCATCAAAATGTTTCAGCCACACACATGTTTTCAAACATGGTGCACTTTTTAAGTACACAAATGTACTCTTATATACAAATGTGCAGGTTTTGCATGTTGAACTTTGATAAATATACTTCAATACCACATGTTTTTGTCTTAAAATTCATCTCATCCCTCGTGGGGTAAGGGGGTCAGATGTACGCAGTCTTATCCTTGTTCTAAAGCACAAAGAGACTGTTTCCGGATGACCCATAGTGAAAAACACGTCGAAAATTACATGGACTGACGGCTGCTTCATAACAGAGAAGCGCAAACAGTTTAGTGAGTCATTTTGTTTTATTCCATCATATTGCCAAGCCAAAAAATAGTGAGTCTTTGGCTCCATTGCAAATGATGGAAGCAAAGTTCATCTCATCCCTCTATTCATTAAATCAATGGCCAAAAATTGAATCTCATTTTTCACCCAAGAGGCACTCTTTATTTGAAACAATGTGTGTGTGAGTCGGAGTGTGAGTCGTGTGACTCAGTAATCTTTTATTTGTTTTAAAAAATATTCTATTTCTCACAATATAAACTAAGACCTCCAAAGTCTCCCCTCCGGCTCCATACAAGCAGACCCTTATTGAATTTCAAAGTCCAATATCTGATGTTACCTTAACTCCCCATATAAATGACTTATCTTGAGTTTCATATGTATTGTATTCCTACATTTCAAATATCTTGCTATCAAAAGACATTAGGAATCCGTAGAGTGCTTTCTTAGCTGACTCAATATATGCTCCTTCGTTTAGGTGCTTCCTTTCGCTCGTGAGGTCCTGCAATTAATTATCCGTGCTAATCTCATGTTCTTCTATTTTGAAGGTGGTTTTTGCGATATAACTCATATATACATATATAACAGTTGCAGAATAAAAAATAATAAATTCCAAGTATATTCTTGCAAAAGGAAAATAAATCCCCATTGTGTATTTGATTGGTCCATGTGGCAGGACTATATTATCATTCATCAAAACGTGCATCTGGCATACGTTATGTGTTCATTGGAAAACCAACTAACCAAAGGCCCAGGTATATGTTATAATAAAAAGTAGAGCGTTTTTTTGGTCATTTTGTTTCCATTCCTCACTTGTCATATACTTGTATGGTGCAGATATCAAATATTGGGGGTTTTCCTTTTCATTCAGCTATGTGTCCTTGCTGCTGAGAGACTGCGCTACAATAATTTATCATCACTTACAGCTTCTGTTCAACAAACACCATTTGGAACTTATCAAACTTTGTCAGGTAAATATTCGTTAGTGTATTATTATAATGATCATCATCTTCAATCCTACTTCGTGCCGCTTTAGGCTATGTTTGGAGTTGAGTTTTGGTGGGAGAAGGATTAATTTTCATTTAAAAGAGCTAATTTTCATTACCTTTACTTGATAGTTCAGCAAAATGAAGGATATAAAGTGATAAAAAAGTGAATCCAATGTCTAAAAATGGGCAGCTCAGTGCACATTGGCATCCCCACAAATCAAGGGTCTTCAGAAGGGTCCCACCACAGTAGTGTATAAGGGGGCAAGCCTTCCCTTGTCATTTTGATAAGAGGCCGCTCCCAAGACTTGAAGCTTTGACCTCGGTCACACGACAACATCTTAACTAGTGTGCCAAGGACTCCCCTTCCATCATGAACTCAATGCCCAATTCATTTATTAACCATAAACGACACATAATTCTCTTAATTCTCTCAATGTTTATTATCTGTTGAACCAAAAAAGACCTTCTGTTCACCACCAAAATCTAACTCCAAAACATACCCTTAGTCTGTTTTGATAGAGGGGTTCAAAGGAGATGTGGGAGATGTGTGTGTGTGTATAATTGTATGTGTGTGTGTATATATATATATATTAATTATTATATTTGTATCCACAACGAACCATAATGTGTACATATGTGTGTGTGATAGGGACACATCTACTCTTAATAAGAAGAACATATACTTTGTTTGTTAGAAGAAATAAATAGACTAGTTTGTTAATAGTTGTTTTCTGTTAGTAGCTGAAGTTTTCTGTATATTCTTCTTCTTCAATGAATCATTTACAAGAAGTACATAAGCTATTTATACAGATAGGAGCCTGAGAGAGTCTATTCAGTACCCTAAGTGACTGTCTGAATACTAAACATAAATGATTATGAACTGAAAAGACAACAGCTATTAATTACAACCTGAAACACTAAAGACTCATAATTACAGTAATAAAATCTTAGATTAAAGATGTCTCTTCGTTTTATCAACACCCCCCCTCAAGCTAGGTTTGTAGATATCCATCATGCCTAGCTTGACAATAAGACTCTGAAACCTGGGACTGTGCAAAGGTTTGGTAAACACATCTGCAACTTGATCCTCTGAGGGAGTATAGCTTAGTTCAATCAGACCTCCTTCAACCTTTTCTTTGATGAAGTGCCGATCAATCTCAATATGCTTAGTCCGATCATGTTGGACTGGATTATGAGCTATGCTGATTGCTGATTTATTATCACACCTCAATTCCATTGGTCCCTTCCACCTGATTCGTAAATCTGAGATTATAATTCTGATCCATAGAAGTTCACACAAGCCATGGGCAAGGGCTCTTAGCTCAGATTCAGCAGATGATCGTGCCACAACATTCTGCTTTTTGCTTCTCCATGTCACAAGATTTCCTGCCAGGAAAACACAGAAACCAGTAGTTGACCGGCGGTCAACGAGAGAGCCACCATAATCTGCATCAGTGAAGGCTTGGACTGATAATTGCCCACCCTTCCTGAATACTATTCCTTGTCCAGGACTTCCTTTTAAGTAGTGTAGAACCCTATAGGCTGCTTCGAGATGCGGTTTCCTTGGATCATGCATGAACTGACTGAGGACACTAACCGCATAGGCAATATCAGGTCTGGTATGAGAGAGATAGATAAGTTTGCCACACAAACGCTGATACATTGATGAATCAACCTTGGGTTCATCAGTAGCAAGTCCAAGCTTATGATTAGGATCCATAGGTGCAGTAACGGGTCGACAAGCACTCTTACCAGTCTCATTTAGCAAATCTGTAATGTACTTTTGTTGGCTGATAAAGATGCCTTCAGATGAGCGAGCAACTTCAATTCCAAGAAAGTATTTTAGAGGGCCAAGAGACTTCATCTCGAATTGGGATTTCAGCTGCCCCTCAAGACGTTGTTTCTCAACTGGATCACTACCGGTCACAATGATGTCATCCACATATACTAAAAGAATAGTGATTCCATTTGGTTGAGAGTGTTTGTAAAAAAGAGTATGATCCCCTTGGCTTTGACTATACCCGGCAGCAAGAACAACCTGTGTGGATCGGTCAAACCAAGCACGGGGGGATTGCTTGAGACCATAAAGGGCTTTTTTAAGTCGGCATACATGTGTAGAGGCACTTATTGATGTTTTATTGAAGCCTGGGGGAATGTGCATGTAGATCTCGTCATGCAAGTCACCATGGAGAAAAGCATTCTTGACATCAAATTGCAGTAAAGGCCAATCAAAGTGAGATGCTAATGACAGTAGGATACGAACAGTATTGAGCTTAGCTACAGGAGCAAAGGTCTCTTGATAGTCAATCCCATACGTCTGAGTGCATCCTTTAGCCACAAGACGAGCTTTGTACCGCTCAAGAGATCCATCAGCATTGTATATGACAGTAAAGATCCACCTGCAACCAACAACATGCCTCCCAGGAGGTTTAGTCACAATATCCCACGTATGGTTCTTTTCAAGAGCTCTAATTTCCTCTTGCATAGCATCCCTCCATTCTTTCTTTCCTAATGCCTCAGAAACAGAGTTGGGTATGGGAATTTCATTAAGTCTCTGAACAAACAAGGCATGTGAAGGAGAGAAATTATCAATGGTAACAAAATTAGCAAGAGGGTATAGAGGTGTTTTGGTACATTGACGTACACCCTTGCGTAAAGCAATTGGCGGAGATGGTGGAGGAGAAGAAGAGACATTACCTGGGTCAGCCGATTGGTCATGCGTCAACAACGGAGTGAACCTATTTTTTCTTGAGTACACTTTTGTCACTGGTAGAGGAGAAGGTGGGTCATGAGTGGTGGATTTAGTAGGTGTAGGAATGGGATATTCTGGTGGTGGATTTGATTGAGGTTCAGGTAATGTTGAAGACTGTTGGGAAGTAGATGAGGTTGCTGACTCATCTATAGAAGGTGATGGATGATCATGTGGCGGTGGTAATAATGGGATGTCTGGTGATAAAGGCTTAGGAGAGTAGGAGATTGTATGTGCTGGAGGAGATGTGGGAAGAGGTGAAGGATGTGGAGTATCTTGGGAAACAGGGAGAGAAGTAGGAGTGTAAAAAGGTGTGTCTTCGTGAAAGGTCACATCTGCACTGATGTATGTCTTTCTGGTTGTAGGGTTATAGCACTTATATCCTTTCTGAGTTGGAGAATAACCTAGAAAGATACACTTAATAGATCGTGGGTCCAATTTTCCCCTATGAGGTGGAGGAATATGAACAAATGCAGTACACCCAAACACCCTTAGATCAAGATCAGAAGAAATTCTGGTTTGAGGAAAGAAGCAACAGAGAGATTCAAGGGGTGACTTATTTTGGAGTACACGACTGGGAATTTTATTGATGAGATGACATGCTGTGAGTGTGGCTTCCCCCCAGTAGTGTTTAGGCATATTTGATTGAAACAATAAAGCCCGACTGACTTCAAGGAGATGGCTATTTTTTCTTTCTGCTGTGCCATTCTGTTGTGGTGTGTATGGACAAGAGGACTCATGAACGATGCCTTTTGAGAGAAAATAAGAGGAAACAGTTTGATTGAAGTATTCAAGAGCATTATCAGTGCGGAAACGTTTTATAGTGGTGGAGAACTGATTATGAATCATATTGCAAAAGATGGGAATGATGGAACTCACCCATTCTTGTTTTTTTAGCAGAAAAACCCACATAAAACGTGTACGATCATCAATAAATGTAACATACCACCGGGCACCAGATATATTAGCAATTGGAGCAGGGCCCCATACATCACTATGTATAATATCAAAAGGAGAACAACTGATTGTATTACTTCTAGAAAAAGATACACGAGACTGTTTAGCAAGTTCACATACATCACATTGCAATGTAGAAACATCAACACTACCAAAAAGACTAGGAAATATGGTTTTTAGGACATGAAAAGAGGGATGACCAAACCGCTTGTGGTGAAGCCAAATAGTGTTGGTATTGGCTGTGATTGAGGTAAGAGCTTTTTGGGGAGGTTTGGAGACAAACAGTGCATCAAGGTAGTACAGGCCATCTCTTTGTTTAGCAATTCCAATCGTCCTCCCCGAGCGTAGATCCTGTAATACACCGTGGGAAGGGAAAAAAATGGCAGCACAATTAAGATCAACAGTGAGTTTGTAAATAGAAGCAAGGTTCATAGCCAGGTTTGGGACATGTAGGGTGTTTTTCAGATTTAATTTTTCAGAAAAAACAACCGTACCAAGTCCTGCAACCTCTGTAGGTGTCCCATCAGCCGTAGTAATGTGTGTGGATGTAAAACATGGCCGATAATTAGAGAGTAAAGAGGGTATGGCAGTCATATGAGATGTGGCACCTGAGTCTAAGATCCATTGGGATTGTGAACTCTGTTCCGAAGCATTAAGACAAAAAATAGTAGAGGTTTTACCTTGCAGGGCCAAAGAGCTATGACCAGAACCATTTGAGTTATTAAGAGACTGTAGCATCATACGAAGTTGTTGTAATTCCTCCTGGGAAATGGGCAAAAGATTAGTAGAGCTCTCAACAATCGTGGGAGTGACTGAGTTGGCACGTCCAGCACTAGTTCCACGCCTGTCCTGGCCTTTTCTTTCTTTCTGTAGATGAGGATATAGTTTCCAGCATGTATCCACATTATGGTTGGACCGCTTGCAATGATCACACCATATTCCTCCCTTACTACCCTTAGTTTCCTTGACATCTGAAGGAGTAGATTTGGCAGCAAGAGCTGTACTGTCAATCAGCTTTGTATTCATCATTATATTGCGTCTACTCTCTTCATGTTTGATAGTGGCAATGGCAGAAGATAAGGAAGGCAGAGGAGTAATGCCAAGAATTTGACCCCGAGTCTGATCATATTCGGGATTTAAACCAGACAAGAAGCAATATAGACGTTGCTGATTTATATAGCTCTTGTGAAGAGCTGCATCTGCAGCATTCAACCACTTCATTGTTTGATATTGGTCAAGTTCAGACCATCGTCGTTGGAGGTCAGTTGCATAATCTGTGACAGATTGTGAATCTTGCTTAAGGTTCGTTGTTTGGAGCCATAAGTCATAGACAAAAGCGCCATCTTTAGCAACGGAGTAGGACTGCTGTATGAAATCCCAGATTTCTTTAGCCGAGTCCATGTATAAACATGTACTGCTAATGTTGGGATCCATAGAGTCCCATAACCAGACCCGTATGTTGGCATTAGTTTTCTCCCAAATAGCAGCATCAATATCTCCTTCTTCTGGGGTAGAGACAGTGAGATAGTCTTCAAGATCTTTGCCACGCAAGAGAGTATAAACCAGCTTTGACCATCCAAGATAGTTCCTGCCATTGAGACGGTAAGATGGCGGGATAGAAGGGAGATCAAATTTCTGGTTTCGAAGAGCAAACGCGGCTGCAGTAGCAGCTGAAACGATGGTTGAGTGGTCGAGGTTACTTGAGGTTGATTCAGTTTCCTTAGACATGATAGAACCGTTGGTGAAGAGATTCGCACCCGAGGATAAACAGAGAGGCGGGTAGAGACACCCTAGTAGACTGTTGGAAAGATGATTAAGAGTAAAGAGGCTGGTACGAGATCGTGCTCTGATACCATGAAGTTTTCTGTATATTCTTCTTCTTCAATAAATCATTTACAAGAAGTACATAAGCTATTTATACTGATAGGAGCCTGAGAGAGTCTATTCAGTACCCTAGGTGACTGTCTGAATACTAAACATAAATGATTATGAACTGAAAAGACAACAGCTATTAATTACAACCTGAAACACTAAAGACTCATAATTACAGTAATAAAATCTTAGATTAAAGATGTCTCTTCGTTTTATCAACAGTAGCTATTAACTACTTTTGGTTGAGTTAGGAGGCTATAAATAGAATAAGTTTGGGAGAGGTCAAACAGGCTGTTTAGACTTTTGTCTTGGGACCGGGAAGTTAGAGACTAATCCTCTCTCTCTTTGGGGGCTTCGGCCATTGTTCTTGTTTACTAATCAATAAAGCTTGAAGTTGTTCTTGTTATACTTTTCATATTCTCTGTAAATTGCTGTATATTATGGAGAAGATCTATCAGTGTGTGCATGCATGTATGGCTGTATGCACACACATACACATAATCACGTGCATACGCGTGTACACAACACAAATATAAGAATTTATAAAAAACTTAAGGAATAATACAACATGTGGCATATATCTTTCCAATCACCTTTTATTTATTTTTGGCAACTTCTATCAAAATATATAGTACTACCTCCGTCCCACTAACATTGGGACATGAAGAGGTGGTGCGGTTATTAAGAAAAGTGAATTTACGTGGTTGATATTGAATTGATAAAGTAAGAATAAAGTAAGAATGATTTAGAGCCACACAAACTTTACCAAATTTGGTATGAGACAATCTTAGTGGGACGAACCGAAAAGGAAGGATGGAGCAATCTTAGCGGGACAGAGGGAGTATATACTAAGCCCTCCAAGGGCCTTCATCCAAATTGGCCCTTGGATAATATATGTGAGCGCCAACAGGTACATACCTCTCATGTAATTTCCTTTTTTTAGGTAAATATGAGAGGGATGCCTGGATGGAGACTTGTTCACCAGTATAGGCTCCCAACACTATGAATTTCATGTTTTGTCTGAAATTGATAAAAATCTCAGATAAGATGAATTAGTTCTTTATTTGAGAAATCTAGAAGGGATTTTGTTTGTTGGTTATGTAAACCTAACTAAAAGCTGTGTCTGCTAATTTAAGTCGTCGATGCCTTATGGGTCTGTAGGACACGGTGTGCCTGTTTTGAATGAGGAAGGCAATTTAATTACTGGAGGCTCTGGAAATGGCAGTTTTGCATTTGAGTCCTCATTAGCTTCAGAGGTATGTGTTGTTATGTTGATAGCGTAGACCTCTCTTGTCTTCAGCATATATTACACTAGAAAAAATCCAAAGGTACACATTTTTTGCGTGTACACACTTTCTGTGTAGGTTTTTTTTTGTCAGACAAAAAAAAACCTACACAAACATGTGTAAAAGTGTGTACACGCAAAAAGTGTGTACCTCAAGCTGGACTAATTACACTATTACCTATAGGAAACAAATTCCGAAGAGGGAGAAAAGCCATCCCACCGCCACCCCTCTTGGGTCAAATGATAGCAGAGATCTGAGCTAAATTAATATCTTCTTCCGATATGGTGCAATTTATAATTACAATTTTCTTTCAATATAGCAGTCTCATGCAAGTGGACTTAGCAAATGCACCCTTTGCCTGAGCAGTCGCCAACATCCCACTTCCACCCCTTGTGGACATGTATTTTGCTGGTATTGCATAATGATGCACTACTTCCTATAGTTTCAATATGATGACCTCTTTCAAAAAAAATATGACGTCAAAAAAATTGCTTCCCATTGCCGAGTATAATCCTCATGTTATCATCTTTCCTCCCATTCGTAGGAACTGTATAACTGAGTGGTGCAATGAGAAGCCGGAATGCCCTCTCTGTCGTTCTCCTGCAACACATTCAAGCTTAGTCTGCATGTACCATTCAGATTTCTAATTCTCTGCTGTGTCTCACATGTTCAATGAATCACAATCATTCAAATAATACCTCCTTTGTGACAATTGTATTCTGAATCATCCATCTCCTGTGTCACAGCCTTTAAGGACCAACGATTATATCTGTGACAATTGTACACCCCATTGATCTCTGTCAAATTAGGTCACATACCAAGACATGGATCGGTGTGCATAAAGGCTTTGGTTCATATGCAAATACACCTACTAGCACTCTTTTGCCTGTGCACATAAACTTTTGAAGGTGTAATTTTATTGTCAGTGAAGAGATTAGAGGCTCTTTGGCTGAATTTTCTTCACACGAAGACGTTTTGCCTGTGATCTTTTTTTTTTTTGTTTTGCAAGATTTGCCCGTGATCTAATCTGATGGAAATGTTTGTATGGAAAGGGTGTATGAAAGATCATTTTTCCTATTTGTTTCAAGTTCAAGTTACAACTGCGTTTAATTTATACACTTTTAATGTATCAAGTATATTAGTGTTTATAATAATTGACCTATATAGGAGTAAACTTAAACATAATTGCACAACAACATCCAAGACTACTCCCAAAAGTTTTTGGGTCGGCTAACATGAATCGATACATGATATCATAAACATAATTGCACAAACAGGAGTAAAATTTAAATCTTCCCGAAATAGGACTAAACACTAATTTTCTACCTTTAATCAATATAATTAATTGCCTCCCTGATTCCCTTGCATATCGGATCAGTCCAGTCACCGGTGTCCGGTGGTGGTGGCGGCACAAACGGGAGACATACATTTTGGAAATTTCTGATGGATATTGGTAGCAGTCGACGACGGAAGAGGCCATAGTGGCGGCAGGGGGCAGCAAGTTGTTGGGGGCTAGGCGCCTAGGCACTCCAAAAGGCTATAGAGGTGTATTTGTCCAAACAAACATAATCAGTCTTATTTATGGAATTTAAAATAAATAAGAGAAAATTGTCAAATAAATCCACGTACTTTTCCCAAAAAGTCAATTGACTTCACACACATTTAAATGAAACAATTAAGTCTCCGAACTGTCAAAAAACCACCAAATCGGCCATTTCACAGGTAATCAATTAGTTTCCGGTTCTACTGCTTTCGTGGAACGTCCAACTAGATTGTTTTTACTGTTTTCTACTACCTCTGTTCCTTAAAACTTTGCCAAAGTTGACCGGCACGGAGAATAATAAAGTAAAAACTGTGTGGTTGAGGTTTGTGCAGAGGAGAGAGTAATAACAGAAACTACAAAATAATTGATTAAAACGGAAAGTGACAAAGGTTTTTGGGACGCCTTAAAAATAAAAGATGACAAAGTTTTAAAGGACAGAGGGAGTATTTTTTTTCTCTTTCTTTCGTTCTCGCGTTTCTCTTTCTTTTTTCTTTGTTTCAGGCTCCTCCTCCCGCATTACAGACTCACAACCATCCTCTAACACTTTGGACTAGGGATGGCCTCGGGCCGGTTCGGGCCCGGTTCGGGCCTTGGTTCAGAAAAATGAGGCCCGAGCCCGAACCGGTGGTGGGCGGTTCCGGGTCCGGTTCCGGGCCAAACCGGGCCGGGCCACCTGGTTTTTTAATTTTTTTTTCTTCTTCTCTTATTTAACCCCCTACCCCTCCCCCTCCACCCCAAACCACCTCAAATGGCCCAAAATACCTAATCCAACCCAAAACTTTAAAAAATTTCAAAAAAAAAAAAATTCCGGCCCAAACCGGCCGGGCTGGTTCACCAAAACATAGGCCCGAGCATGAACCGCCCAAAGTCCGGGTCGGTTCGACCCGAACCGCTGGGCCCACCGGTTCCCGGGCCGGGCCGGGCTCAACAGTAACCGGGCCGGGCCGGTTCCGGGTCGGGCCGCCTGGCCCGAGTCCATCCCTACTTTGGACATTCCACATAGCCACATAGGCAGTCAACCAGGAAACCGGTTGATTACTCATGAAATAGTCAATTTAGTTATTTTTAAACAATTCACGGAATTAATTGACTCGTTTAAAAGTATGTGAACTCAATTGACCTTTTCATGAAAGTACATGGACTTATTTGACAGTTTTCCCAATAAATAATGTAGTCGTATTTTTTGGGGTTTTTTACAAGAATATTACTAAAATAAAACATATTTACATAAATATGACTATTCATTACTACAATGTGGTGTTGTGGTAACTTAAGCTCAAAACTTGAACATGAATTACTATGATTTCATTACTACTCTAGTCAATAATCATATTTTTGTAAATCATCTTTATTTTGGTCATATTTATGTAATTATTTCTATTTTTTGATTTAGCTTATGTTTTACTTTTTTGGGTAATTCACTCTTCTTCCTTAGGAATTGAACATAGATAAATTTGGTCATCGCAATAAAAAATACATATAAAATTTTGACTTTTTTCTAAACTAATGCTAAATAAAAAATATTTACGAAAATTTCGATGTGTAATAATAAATGTAAGAATTCAATTAAAAAATATGTTTGGTAAATATATTGATGGTGCTAGATTGCAAGAAAAAAATAGATTAACAGGGTGAATAAACAATTTTTATTGAAAATTGGATTTGTTGATGGTAGGGGTGGACCCGGGCCGGTTCGGGCCTGGGCCCGGCCGGGCCTCGGGCCAGAAAACTGGGGCCCGAGCCCGAACCGCCGGTGGCCGGTTCCGGTTCCGGGCCGGGCCAAACCGGTCCATTTTTTTTTGTTCTACTATTTAACCCCCTACCCCTCCCCCCTCAACCCCAAACCACCCCAAACCACCTCAAATGGCTCAAAATACCTAATCCAACCCAAAACTTAAAAAAAAATTCACCCAAAAAAAAAAAAAAATTCTGGCCCAGACCGGGCCGGTTCACCTAAAGCAGGGCCCGAGCCCGGACCGCCCATCACCCGGGCCGGGCCAAACCGAACCGATGGACCCACCGGGCCCCGGGCCAGGCCGGGCTAAACAGTAACCGGGCCGGGCCGGTTCTGAGTCGGGCCGCCCGGCCCGAGTCCACCCCTAGTTGATGGTGCATTGCTGCAAGTAAATTTTTAACCTGGTATGGTCTTCGTTTTTTTAACTTTATTGATGCAATATTGGTGTCATGAAACATCACAGAGTTATGAAATTTAATACGAAGTATATTATTTGTAAAAAAAATGAAGTGAAAATATAAAAGTTATAACACTTTAAAGAAAAAAGAGATTTTTACCTGAGCCCCACAACATGCTCTTTCCATTTCTTCTCCCACGCATGGCTTTGTAATTGCATACAGAGGGAGTATATTCCATCTGTCCCGCCAAAATTATCTAATTTTTCATTTTTACCTTCTTCTGTTTAGATTGTCTCATATCAAATTTGATAAAATTTGTGTGATTATAAATCATTCTTACTGTATTCTTATTTTATCAATTCAATGTAAAACACATAAATCCACTTAATTTAATAACTGTATCATCTCCTCATGTCCCAATGTTAAATGGACGGAGGTAGCAGCATTTTTAAATAAAGTCATCACTTGATTTAGCGACTTTCGCTAACCATAGTTTGGCTCAATAGTATTTTGGTAAATACTTTTAACTCAATCTTAATTTTATAATTTTTTTTATTTAACATTATTCAGGAAAATATCTAAAATTTTAGACAAGATTGCGGCTTTGATGAGTACGTCAGACATTGCAAGCTTAGTGTCATCCGTGCACTCGAGATGCTCTAAGTGTGCATCCATGCATGCCTTGATGGGCGGGACAGTTAAATGAATTGTTTTTATATTAGTTATTTTGAACTTATAATAGATATGATGTACAATGCAATATATAAGTTGATACTGTATAATTCTTATAGAGTATTTAAATATAAAACACTAACACATAATTATATGTTAGGTAAATTAGCAACATAATTAATTCTAAAAAACATTACATATAGAAGTGACACATTACTATCAAACTAGGGGTGAAGCAGTGCGCAGGTTCAACCATAGTTGTGCCTTTGTGTACACGGCATAAAAATAACATGTTATGAGAATATAAATAGAAAAAATTGAATAGTGAATTGAAAATGGTTAAAATTGTGACATGTTCAAAAGATAGGTCATAGTAGCCCAAGTTGCAGGTAATGATCTATTTTAGGACTGAAGCCCGGTAAAAAAAAAAATTGAGGAGTTATTTTTAAAATTTTCCATCCAGCCCCCCCCCCCCCAAATTTGTCTATAGTGCAGACAAATTTTTCTGCCCAATCCATAAAACAAAATCTTACCCAAAAAAAAACTAATCTTAATGTTATAAACATCATGGCAGAGGGCCTCGAGAAATAGAAGGCCTAAACAAATTAGTAGCATTAATTAGGTAGCCCACTAGCTAATTAATACTACACAACTCATTCTAGGGGAATTGAGACAAAATGGATGGGAAGACTTTCTTGAAGAAGTAAAGAAGTTTTGCTCAAAACAAGAAATTCTCATGTACCAGAGCTGAATTCTAAATATATCGTTAGTCATTGCCGAAAACAAACTACAGTTGAGCATCATTATCACTTTGATGTTTTCAACGAGGCAATAGACTTTGTATTGATGGAGTTAAGGACTCAATTTAATGATAAATCAATGGAACTTCTTTCTTTGAGTGCTTTATTGGATCCAAAAAATTCATATGAGTCATTCAATGTCGATGCTATTTGTACTCTTGCAAGGAAGTTCTATCGCGAAGATTTTAGTAGTCAAGATATTCGTGCTTTGGGATTCGAGCTGCAACACTATGTTCATGATGTGATCCATGATACAAAGTTTCAAATATCTACACTTGTTGAATTATGTGAGGAGTTGAATAAAAGTAGAAGACAACTACAAGAAACATTGTCTAATCCCGTGGTTAAAACATCTAATCCCGTCATAAAATGTTTTTAATGAGGGGATACTTACTGTCATCACCCGTCACAACAACTTCCGTAGTTAAAAGTAAATAATGACGGGACAGAGATGGTATAATGAGAGTGTATTTACCATCATTAAAAATGATCTCTAAATACAGAGATTCCCGTCATCATTAATATAAGCAGTAACAACTGATTTTCTTTTTCATTGTATCATTTCTATGACCAAGATTACCGTCATTATTAAAGCTATTTAATGACAAAATGTACTTTCATAATTATTAAAATCATACGTCACAAATGATAAACTTTAGTGACGGAAAATTATTTTGTCATTATACAAGTGTGTGTGTCTATTAAATTAGTTATTGCTATTAAATTATTGTTGTGGTCCTTGTGGATATTGAAATGACATAACAAATACGAAGTATATGTAATAATATGCATATTTTTCACACTAAGAGAATAATAACAACACAATTTTAATTTGAAGTACAGAATCATAAGTCAAATGGTCTCATCATCACTACCAAGTTAGTTATGGATATACAGCTAATTCTGGAAAAAAGTATACATGGGGAACTCACTTAATACACAAAATCAACACTACAAAATCAGTTCATACTACTAGACATTGTTAGAAACCTAATAAGTTTGCTTCCCATGCAGTTTAATACTACGCACCTGTTAAGAAAGAACAAAGAATATTTATTAATTGTAAAGAAAATCAAACACAAATATCAGAGGGCAAAAGTTCATGGAGAAAAGCATATGAGAAGGTGCTTAACTGACTGAAACAAATCAAAGCTTTGTGTAATTTCAAAGTGAACGACACAGTTTAATGCCAAACCTTACCATCAAAGAGGAGAAATGTATAGAAAAGAAAATCCAAGGACAGTTCATGGAGATGTAAAAAGGTGGACTTGAATACTACAAAAGATTCTCAAATCCAAACGCAGTTTAACTCGAAGTCATGTTTATATGCGAGAGATTGATTCGCCTTGTATTGAGCAGAATGATAATTTTCTGCCATGAAACTTCTGCCAAATGCATTTTCATTTGAAGTAACAAATACTCCCTCCGTCCCGCAAAGAAGTTACCGCTTTCCTTTTTTAGCAGTCCCAAAAAGAAGTTCTTCTTTCCTTAAATGGCAAGTTATCTACATCAAAACAGTGTCAAACAGTGCAAAATAGCGTCAAACAGTGTTGAAACAATGTCAAAACAGTAAAATTTACCCTCTGGTAAGTTTATTTCCTTAATATGTGTGTATGTCAAACGGGGAACTTCTTTGCGGGACAGAGGGAGTAGATTATATGATTATGTTACATAACATAAGTGAATAGTTAAGATAAAAAGAATAAATCGTAATATGTATTGACTTAGAACAAATGTCAAAACTAACGCGCATTTTATAAAAAAAAAAAAAGGTTCATCATGAGTCTTGGCTTTATGACTTAGCTTCTAACGTCATACTAATCAAGATTACAATAATTAAAATGTAAAAGAACATGAAAATACAACTCAAATGTTGCCTAGATATCAATGGTTGCATGAAGTGAGCTTTCCAACCTCAAGAATACCACAAAGAACAAATATAGAAGTTAGAAACTAGCTAAGATTGAATGGTTCATTTGGGATGAAATTGAGGGTTCAAATAGGAAAGGAAATGATCTTTGATAGTCTATTCATGATACTAGAACATATTGGGGCGAAATATTTGAATCATACCCTCCAAATATCCTCATTTATACTCAATAATATGTTGCACGTCATGTTTTTTTGTAGGTGGAGCTAGATACAATGCTCATTTGCGTCATACAAGGCAGCCGCCGGTGTGGACCAATGTAGTCTAGTGTTAATAAAAGTAAAAGTTTATATATTTACTACTCTTTTATAATAAAAGTTATGATTGAAGTTTTAATAGAATAAAGCGAAAAATGTGATTACCAAAAATGAAAGTAAGAAAGGACATAGGGCATACATTATTTATAGTTTAGCTCTTTTACGGTTTAGAAGGTATAGAAACAACATTACCCCCACAAAGGCTCCCACGGTAGGATAAGAGGGTCAAATGTACATAACCTCACACCAAAAATTATATAGACTAACTGCTATTTCATAATATATTAGTGAGCCATTTTATTTTATTTATTTTATTTTATTCCATGATATTTTCAAGCCAAAAATAGTGAATTTTGGCTCCATAGGATATAGTGAGCATAAAAATAGTGAGCATTTAATTTAGAAGGTAAAAATTGAACGTAGAAATTTAATTATTCTGCGTTTTATATTTTGATTTGAGTGTTGGACTTAAAATAAATAATTATAAACTATAAAGTTCAAAATTAATCTCTAAAGTTCAAATGGATGCAATTTGTGAAATGGTGTAGGCATGGTATGGGAGCGTCCCATTTGGAAATGGAGATAGATCCTAAGTAGTAGGAAGGGGCATGGGGAAAAGATTAATTAGGAAGATGAGCATTATATTTTTAATCACAACTACAAGCCTCGATGCGTATCGGGAATGCTCAAATAGCAGCAAGTGGTAAAATTCAAGTCATGATCAAACCGCAATCAAAGAACGCATACTACTGTGACGACTATCCATAAGAAATCGTAGCAGCAGCTCCCGTGAAGATGATGATGATGATTCATCAGAATTCAGATGTTCTAAATAAATCTATGGAGTCAGGTACAAGCTACCTCAATGAGATGGACTTCTCCCGCTTGATGAGTCAATGAGATGGACTTCTTGAGGAAGAAGATCGTATCTGATACTCAGATCCTCAAACATTTTCTTCATCTCCAGGATCAGTTCGGTCCTCCGCCTACTTCTCTCTCCAGCATTTTGGAAGTTCATCGTGTGATTGAAGATCAAGGCCATCTTCATTTTATTCATACTCTCTATCTCCTTCACCACCATGTTGTGATTCGGATGCCAAAGTGGGGATTTTTCTAGATACCTGCATTGTGAGTGCATAATTATACTCTCAGAGATAGGCTCAATTGAAGACATAAAGATGGTTAGCCTGAATTTTGAAAACTGTCCATCTAAGACCTAAAATATCATTAACTTTATTTCTTTTTATTTTAAATATTTTGAATATATTTTAACTTTAGTAATCTGTGAAGAAAAAATATTCAAACTTAGCAATAAAATAAATGAAATAAACCAAAATCTATGATATTTTAGGTATTTGATTTATGGTTTTCAATTGTTCAAGACTCGTATCAATCATTTTATCTTTCAGGTCCTTCGGGCTCTGTATCGGCCACTTTATCTTTCAGATCCTAAGATTGATAATTAATTTATCCTTCAAGTTCTGGATCGATAAAGCTCCGTAAAAATGTGGCCATTTCTAGACTATTCCTCCTTTCAGTTCATTTTTAAGTAAGGAACCTAAATCTTAATAAGATCAAGGATCAAATTTGAACCACAATAGCTCACAAACAATCACGTAATGTATTCTAGCTATTCATAAGAGAGATAAATATTGTAAATCAACATCTTAAACTGATTTTGCTGGTTAACCCTAGCTGTACTTTTAATTGAAGGCAAATAGCAAAATGCTGAAAATTTTAACTTACATCTTTACTTTTTCATTTAGAGCTCCAATCTTCTCCACATGCGTATGGAAATCAACGGAAAACTCGAAGGTATCGCTCATATCGGGACTTCTCTTAAAATTGCTGATGGGCTTATTAGCCAACACCGAATTCGGATAGTATATCTTCTCATTGTCATACCTCAAGAAAATAGTAGTCAAGATATTCATTTCTTCAACAATCATCTGCAAATATTCCAAGGCACCATATATGCGTAAATAAATATATTCTGAAAATATCCATACAATATGGAGTTAATTGCATCTACCACCCTCAGGGTTTGGTCGAACGACCAATTAGCCCTTGATGTAACTAATCACCAGTTCAATTACCTGAACACCATCCACAACACAACGATCACCAACATCAAAAGGATGCACCACAAACACAAAAACAATGGCTTCAAAAACAGTCTTGCAAGTGTTCCCGAACATAAATACTGCCACAACAAGTTGGGACGAGAGAAAGACAATCACTTTGGTTGTTGCAATCCCGACTAACAGAAGCCATATGACCATTATCACAACTATTAGAATCCCGGTGACGAGCTTGTTCAATTGTCTCACAGCTGTTTTTGTGTCGTTTAAAGCATGGGATAGTGTTTTCCGGTCCTTATAAATCTTCACCTGCAATGTAAGGCTTCTCTTTTAAATAATACTCCGTAATAATATTGACAACAATTTATCTTGGTAAACAAAACATACCCAAATCCATCCATTTCATATGCAAAAAAACATGTTAACATTGACCAAGTTCACCAATCTCAAAGAGAATGAATTATGTGAGTATGAATCTACACAATAGACTACTTGAGCTGAAAGTATTAATTATAATCACTAACAAAAGCCAAATAAAGAAACTAAGCCAACTAATAGCCAATGAGAGATAGATGTGGGGAGGGGGGGGGGGGGGGCACATACCACCCACTCTGTCAAAGTCTTCATGTCAATTTCTCTGGTATCTGCCACATCTATCATTGGTAAAACCATATCAACCTCTTCTTTAATCAAGAATCTCCTTAAGTCGAACTCATCAATGTACCTTCACAAATGGTACCAATTGTGATTTCTTTTCAGCCCGGGATTAAGTTGTTATTTGTATAATATTGAAGTATAAAGTTTGACCCACAAAATAGAAAACATAAAAACTATTTCAGGCGAAAACAGGAAGTCATTTACCACAAACTTCAGAAAGTGACAGAAATAATTTTCCTCCAAGAGAATAATTTCAGATGTTAAACACAGGAAGACCTCTCACGGAAAATATTTGGTGAAATTCATACTAATAATCCGTACTTTTAGTGGTTCTACAATAATGATCTCTATTGAAAAAGTCTATACAAATAATCCAAACTCGTAAATGCGTCTACATAGATAGATTAAACCTTCATAGATAGATTATTATCCTTTAAGAAAATAATTATAGTAATGATATAAAAAACACTAAACTCAAATTTATGACAGTGGTGAATAAAGTCAATATTGTATTTTTATATATTAAATATCAATAAGATTAATCTAATCTGTCTATGTAGACGTGTTTATGAGTATGGATTATTTATATAGAAATCTTCAGTAGGGATTATTATTGTAGAACCGCTAAAAGTATGGATTATTGGTATGAATTTCGCCTACAAAATCCAGAAAATATTGTGCAAGGAAATTCCAGCAAATCTTTTTCCTTTCCAGGAAAGAAACTGTGTCTTAGGTAAAGCATGTGCACAAATCCTAGAAAATCTTCCTGATAAAGCATGTGTGGGCAGATCATATCTTACTTGGAACCAGGCTGTGCAACATTCCTGAAGATGTGATAAGCAGCGGCAATTGCTTCCTCCTCATTAGTGATCTCAATATCCCTTTGTTCAAACTCTCCTCCAAATGTGCGTTCATCTAACGAGCCAGAGATAGTGGACAGCCCCGTATTAGATATCACATCGACCAACATCTTCATAGTCCATGCAGACACCTTCTCTCGCTTCATCTGGTGAAGCTTATTAATATCGATTACCTCTCTCTCCTTCCTAATATTGTCCTTCCCGTCTTTCCCCTTCTTCACCCTGTGGAAACTGAGCTGACTCACATTGCTGTTTGTTCTCCCTAACATCTCTGCCGACTCCATAACCGGGTTACCCGATAGGGTCAACAAAATGTACTGATGAAAAAACGAGAGTTGGATTCTGTCAAAAAACGCATTCACGTGAAAAGATGATGCTAATATCTTAAGCAACAGAGTTTTCAGTAACCACAAACACGCCCCTATAAGCAACGAAACTAGAGTCCAAGTAATGTCATCCAAGACTCTGTTGGCCAAACGCGACCTCCGATTCCCGCTCGCGAAGAGTGATAACCACGTCACAAGGACTAAACTAATCCATAGGCAGACACGAACACTCTTCTTCAAACTATACACAAAGTACAACACCCTCTTCCGTAACAAGAAGTTGAGCTCAACCAATAAGGCAATGAAATGTATGAACCACTTTGTGACCAATAGCCCGTTCAATGTTACCATAAAAAGCGTAATCCACTTCCATACCTCCAAATCCCAAAGTTTCCAACGTCGGAGCTTATCAACCTTTACGCTAGCAACCAAACACCCTACAATGCAAAGTAATAATGACCATTCACTTAAAACTCTCACCTTCACTTTCCTAAGCCTCAAATTGTCCCTCACTTTCACTTTCTTATAAATCTCCTCGTGCTCATCATATCCTTCAAAACCACCCGGTGACGCCATTAGCGGTGTCTTGGGGGTAATGCTCACTGAGACGGCCCTTCTAGTCTCTCTCTGTGTATTACAAATGGTATCGGGGTCCAGTTTATAATTAGGTGAAGCACAGATAGATGCTTCACTTTGATCATCAAACATGTTTTGATCAATGGGTATCGACTGTTCACCAAATCTTGATTTCGGTTTTGAGTAAACTGATCTTGAGAGTGATTTTCGCCTAATGAGAGTGGTGGAAGTGGATGGTGGTTTTGGAGGCTTATTTGCAGTTGGGCTGAATGTGGCAATCTCAGGTGAATCAATTGATGCATGGGGTGAACCAGATGAAGGTTTAGTCTTAGGATGATCCTTCAAACCATCACCACCAGAGATCATAACAACCACCTGATCGTTTGGACCTTTACCGTTTGCATCCATCACAATCCAATGGCAACCAATACCTAACATCATCCCAATGAAATGAAATATTAAGTGCAAGGGTAAATGGTTTTTTTCCCACTCTGGATAGTCAGGGTGGAGGTGTCATCACTATCAATTACAGAAAATCAAAGAAGTTCAACAAGACAACAACATATAATGCCAGAGCATGAGTCTCAACCTTATACCTTAACAAATATGGATATGAATTTCATCTCTTATATGTGAGTAAATTGTAGATGTATGATACTTTATCAGTCATCACCAAGTAGTTAGGTACGGCACCAGGAAATTAATAGATTCGATTAATTGTCTTAAAAATGAGTAATACGATCATAACATGGAATTCCAAAGCGACAATGGGTTGAGATAAGTGTTAAAGACTGATGGTCGTTTCTCATTACCACATTGATGTTGCCAAATAAACATTCAAATCATGAAAAATTGAAGTTCATAATGTACGTTCAAGGGCAGAAACGGGTTCTATACAAATTGTAGGAAATGCAGGTGAAATCTAAAAGGGGAATAGATCAATCAGTAGAGTTCATGGAGCAGCCTAACGGTCTTTTAACTAGAGATTTGGTTGAACTTGAACCTACCTACTGCAAAAGAGAGGGAAAAAGAAGAAAGATATGAGAAAAGCCCCAACAGTCTGACTGCTATAGTGACTAGGCACAAAACTATGTATTTACATTCTAAATGATCTGTCACTTCTTTTGGAAACTCAGGGGAGCTTTCTAAAAAGTGACAAGGAGAATCCTAAATCTTGTCAAACTATACAGGATAGAAACTGTATTTGTTACTGAGCCTATGGTCAATCACGATCAACTAAAGATGTAGTACTTTATCCTGAAATTCAAGAAGCCGGTTGCTAATTACGCAGGAAAACAATATGGGCATTATGTAATCCTACAAACCCTGACAATTAATCAAAGGTGATAAAACCTATTGTTTGACTGTTGTTATGCTGTAAAAAAAACTGTTCAAAGAAGAGAACTATGGTACAAAATCATAATCTTTTTTATGGTGTCCATAAATGTTGGAGAAGATTCCAATACATACCTAAAGAAAATGGAAAAGACTGGTAGTGAATAACATGACCAACAAGCCATTGCACAGCTTTGGGGATATGATTATCTGTGCAACATTATGAAATAGGGATGAATTAATTGGGGATGAATGAATGAGAGGGAATAGGGGCGAGGTATAGGAGAAACTGGATGAGTTCTTATGAACCCGGATTGGGCCATTGGCTAAACAAGAATGGATTTTCTCCTTTTATATTCTTAATAGTGATGGGTCTGATCATTCCTCCATTTTACTTGCTCAGACCACCTTTAATAAGAATCTCAGAAGATCATCATTCAGGTTCTGAATTGCTAGAATTCTCGCAATCAGTTTATGAATCTTGTGAAGGAAGATTGGTCACAACCACTGATTCCAAACTCAAGATGGTTATATCGACTAGTGAAGAATTTGAGAATATCCTTTGAAAGAAATTGCTCAAAATAGGAGTAAAATGTGAACAAAGTAAAAAAAAAAAGTAGGACCAGGTATCTTTTATTCTCAAAATATTATTTATATAATCCTATATGAGTTGATGAGTCCTATTTTGGGAAGAAAAGAATGGCACTCCTGTTTTAGGAAATGTGCTATGCTTTACTTCTACTTAGGGAATCTTCTCTATCCTTGAAGAGATAATTTTTTTTAAGATGATGCAAAGAGGCTAGAGTAGATTTGCATGAACAATAAGGCCCCTCAACATAAGGAATCTCCACCAAGCCTATTCCACATTAAATTTCCATCCTGCAAATGAAGAAGAATTGTGGAAGCAGAAAGCTGGCTATGAAAGGAGCCCAGGTGGAAATAAAAATACTGCCTTCTTCCATGAATTGCTCAAAGGTTCCAGAGATAAAAATCAGATATTAGTGGAAACTTTACCAATGATGGGGGGTTCGTTTTGTTGGGATCCCTCCTTAATTGGAGAGGTTCTAGAAAATTCTAGAGTTTTCTAGAGAAGTATAGAATTTTCTAGAAAGTTCCGGAGAATCCTAGAGAAGTCTAGAACTCTCTAGAAGTTTGTGGAATAGTGTGGAATCCTCTAGAATGTTCTAGAGATGTGTGGAACCTTCCAGAAGCTTATGGAAGAGTATGGAAGGATATGGAATAGAGTGGAAGAGTATAGAGCCTCCTAGAGTGTGTGGAGCATTCTAGAGAATCAATCTCCACCCTTGGATAGAAATCAACCCCACCATTCATTGTGAAGGTGGAGTAGTATAAATAGGAGCAGAGGTCTCCATTCCTAACCATCCTAGCAAGAGAGAAGTCACTTCCTAGAGTGAGAAAGCTAGAGAGTTAGAGAGCCTCTTTGAGAGAGAAGAGAGTTAGCTTGGGAAGTTCCTATCCTCAAGCTTGAGTGACAATTTTGTAACATCCTTGTAAATTCTACTATTCTTTTGTATAGTGGAAGAATCTCCATATTGGAGAATTCAAATCGTGTGCTCCCATTGCTACCTAATTTCTTAAGTGCCTATCTTAACTTCATGAAGCGGGAAAGTCCGGAGTTTTTCCCAACACGTTTGGACTATTGACGAACAAATGATCCAGAAGAGTGGCATTGAGTTCTTCCAAACAATGTTGACACCATAGGAGGATCTCCACAAAAGTGACATATGTGAGAACCTTCCCCTGATCACTGCTGGAGTAAAGGCTAAAATACAGGATCAAATGCTGGACTGATGTTGACAGCCAGGAACTACCTTCACATTATCATGGAGTTGCAATATTTAGAGTGTATTCTTGTGATTAGATGTTGAACAAGATCAAAGGTAAATTGATAGAGCTTGGGAGGGTCAAAGTTAGAGATCATAATGGAATAATTCTTCTTGCCTGCTGTAAACAAATTCAGAAAGTGCAATATTACAATGGCTGAAGCTAATGACTTTCTGAAAGGGTTGCAATTTGCGAAGAAAGAGGCTTGAATAATATCATCCTGGAACCAGACTCTATAAATGCTAATGATTGGATTAGCTGCATTACTGCAAACAGAAAGAAGAGAAGGAAAGAAATTGGCTGGTGAAAAGAATCACTCAAAGAGGCAGGCGCCAAACTGACAACGGGAAAATATATGGATTTAAAAATTTCGACAAAGGTAACAGGCCCCCCCCCCCCCGCTCTTTGCTTTGATATATCCTATCATTGGAGCCTTGGAGTAGGGCTGAGCAAAACCCGATCCAACCCGAAAAACCCAATATTTTTTTCGGATATTATCCGAACCGAAATGGATATCCGATCCGAAAAACCCGAAACCGAAATCCGATTAATATTGGGCCTAGACCGGGTGGCGGGTAGGGTTTGTAAAATCCCAACCCGACCCGCCCGAATATCCGAAATATATGTTAGTGTGTACTTTGATTATGTTAAATTAATACTTGTGTTCAATTATTTGTGTAATTATTTGTGCAATTTGTATTAAATTATTTGTGTAAATTGAATGTGTAGTGCACTAGTGTGTACAATTTTTGTCAAAGTGACATTCCAACACTTTAATTATCCAATTATAATGTGTTTTAATATAACCGAAATATATTAAATTATGTAGTGTGTACTTTGAATATGTTAAACTAATACTTGTGTTTATTCAATTATTTGTGCAATTTGTGTTACATTATTTGTGTAATTTGGATGTTTAGTACATTGGTGTGTACAATTTTTGTCAAAGTGGCATTTAAACACTTTAATTATCCATTTTTTAATATAACCGAAATATCCGAAGCCCGACTCGATATCTGATAATATCCGACTTAAAAATATCTGAAATACCCGATTTGAAATATCAAAGGGTCGGGCCTAGTATTTAAATTAAAAAAAACGAACGGGTTTAGGGTTCGCAAACCCAACCCGCCCGAACTCGACCCGTGCACAGCCCTACCCTGGAGGGGTATACATGGATGGCCTTACGCCTTGGTTCATTAATTCTATGTCTCCCTCCTTTTTCTACTTGCTTTTATCTATCATTATTATGCCTTGATGATTCATGTCATAGATAAAAAAGAAATAATGGCATAGATATTTCTCCTAGAGTTGCGGTAGACAAAAAATTAAATTTACAACAATAGTGATATCTTTACAAAAATTTAAATTTGAAGTAATGAATAAAGGAAGTGGGGTATGAAAAGATAAAATGAACTCACAGTATTTGCTTTGACCGCTCAATAAAAGGACAATCGTACATTTGTACCTTTACCCATCCCCACATATGTACTATCTTCAAATCTCTCACAATTTTTTTTAATTTTAGGACAACAAAAAAGTTCAAAATTTGAATATCTAACCTAAAAAGACAAGGTGGCCACTTACACAAGAATTGAAACTTGTAAGGAAAATTTTACCACTAATTTTTCATCTCCTGTGTAAAGATTCAATCTTGTAAGGGGAGATGTTAGAGCCAGCTAATCTGATTTACACAAGATACAATCTTTTGGTGTTCTTCGAAGAAAATAGCACCAAAAGTGTATTGTTGAAAATATTCACATTAAAGTAAATACATAAGTCAACAGAATCTGAGCAGCAAAAATGGCATATCAAGAACAGAGACAAGAACCATAGACAATGCTAAACCTTAACAAAAATAACAAAAATAACTTTAAATTAATATTCACAAGTTAAAGCTAAAGGTCAGAGGTGGAAGAGAATAGCTACTATTAGATATTACAAAAATAAAAAATAAGAATGAAAAGATGGAATATAAATAAAAAAAGAAAGAAAGAATGTAAGTATGTAACCAAAAAAAGAAAGAAAGAGAGAACTTTGACAGTACCTGTTTGTTTGTGTAAGAGTTGATGAAGGTGTTTTCAGAGACAGAGATTAGAAAAATGAGCCTTGTTGTGAGCTTCGGAAAGAGGCGGTGAGGTGGCGCAGTTGTTTAAAGGAAGGCTTGAAAGGGGAAATGCAGGGAGAACTTGAAATAACCACGTCCTGCTAGACCTTTAACTTTTACCTCTTGTTTTCATATATTCTTTTACCTCTTGTTTTCATATATTCTTTTACTATTCCATTCACACAACAGTATATGCTTTTGGAAAAATAAATAAAATACCCTAGAGTTTGCATAAGTGTGATATCCTCACTCTAAATTTTTCTACATTATATAAAGGAAGAATTGTATTTTTTGTTCGTTAAAAGATTCAGGATCATTACATCAAGCAAAAGGAAAATAAAACTGACACCAATTAAAACTCCAACAACTACGACTGTAACCCTATGGTGAGACTTTGAGACGGTCACCCCTGAAAGAGCAACACGAATCGCTAATCATGTAGTGGGTTTGATACAGCCAAACTTGTTCTCATAGATCCAATCATACCCAATGACATAAAGAGAGGCAGAAAACTCAAACAAACTGTCAAAACCAAAAACAAAAATGGATACAAGAAAACAAATGACAAACAGATAAAAATTACTAGGAAAACGTTCACGAACTCTAACACCTCATACATCCCATAGTGGTGGTTCAGGAGGAGGTCGAAGCACCGGTACCATGCTAAATGATCCTCCATGACCTTTGGCTGCCAAAGACCATGCATCAATCTTCCGTCCCTGCAAAACCAAACTCATCCCTGCTCCGTACGACCAACGTAAACGGATAAGCGACGCCGATCTCCTGCAACGACGACCAGACATTTGTCAGACCAGACCAGACTTAAACAGATTAGACGATATTAGACCAGATCAGACCAGCAAATTTCGGTATAAAAGAATATATCCTAACAGTAACAATAACAATAACATCTCATATTTAATTCCAAGAGAGTTTGGGGCTGACCAACATGAATCCACATATGACATGAAAGCTAAAAAATAAGAGACCATTTGGTGATTCTATTTTTCGGCTTATATCCAAACCCCGCCCGCCCCGAAGCCTGGTAAAAGACGGTTTAACCGCACTAGGTGATGTTATGAAGGACATGAAGTATTAGACTGATTTGGGGGTAATAATCATCGATTATAGAACAAAATTGTGCTCAAGATGACAAAATCTCTTGAGACGTTTGTTTGCTTTCACGATTAGTTGAAGGCACGACGTAAAATTCAAGAAGTTTGCATCGCCCCCGACTGCTACTTCGTGGAAGAAACAACAATCGATGCTGGCGGAGATTCCAACTTTTACCAAATGTATTTAATGTTTGAGATTATTTTTCAAATATCAATTGTACTTCATATTTCAATAAATATACATTAAATTTTTTTGTAGCACTTGTGAATTAAATAAAAAAAATTAAATTTAGCTTGGCCCAATCCGGGCTTGACCCGAAGCCCGACTAGGTAGCCCAACCCAATCCCAATACATAACCGGGCCGGTACCGGGACTGATATTACTGGACCCAGAGCCCGCCCAGTCCCAGCTCGGAGCCCGGCCCAAACCCTGCCTAATCCACCACTAAGTTGAAATATTTTATAAGCTCCGATGCAAATTCATGTACTTTTTACCCCACCAGAGACAAATTTGTATGCCGAGTTGACACTTAACTTAGTCATGGACCCGGTCCGGTCCGACCGGCCCAGGAACCGGCCCGCTACTGTGCGGGACCGGACCGGCCCACTATTGTGCGGGACCGGACTGGCCCGGTTGACCAGTTACAGTACCGGGCCAGGGCCCAACCCGGCTTGCTAACCGGAGGCGGCTCCGGTACGTGTAAATTGTGAACCGGCCCGGCCGATTCGGGCCCAGTTCGGGCCTCATTTTTTGGGGAGGATTTGGGTTGGGTTTAGGTGGGCTAGGCTAGGTGATTCCGAGGGGTTTGAAGGGATGGGGGTAGGGGTTGAAATAAATAATACTCCCTCTGTCCCATTTTATAAGATGTCTTTACTATTCACTTGGTCAACACAAATCACTCTTAATCTCTTATTTTGTATATCAAAATTTTATGAAATTTGAATTCTTTTTTTTGCAGGTTTTGTAGTGGTTTTGATGTAATTTCTGAATATGTAATTCTTTTTTTCTAAAATTAATTTGAGTGCACACAGAGATCCGTTTGCTTTATCGTCAGTCAAACATCGTAAACCGAAAAGTATCTTACAATTTGAGACGGAGGGAGTAAAACACAAAAAAAACGGAACTGGCCCTTACCCAAAACCTTCACTCAAATTTTAACGGAGTGAAAAGGTAAAGTGTAGAACTAATAGAAGTACATAGCGTTAACAACATCTTTGTACTAGTAGTATATTTATGACCACGAATATAATTATTGCATTTATGATTTCACAATCAGGCAGAGCCTTTCAAGGCGAGTTAAAACATCACATAAAAGAAACCTCATCTATCCTTCTACTTGCGTGATTCTATCGAGCATAGCTTTCATGATTTTTGGTAGACAGCCTCTTAAGAAACTCATAGGTAGTGATCATAGTGGTTGCGGACATAGACATGGAAGCCCATCTGGGAGCTAAACCCCTGTAACATGCCCGGAACCCGTCTTTATGGACCAACTCCCTCACCGTCTCGACCACCGTAGGCTGCCGCCTCCACCGCCTCTCCGCAGCGGCTGCCCCTTCCCCGTCCAACACTTGCAACCTTGTCTTGATCGTGTCGAGCGGCATGGTCACCAAGGCGGAGATGCCACTAGCCAAGGTGGCGCTCATCCCTTGAATTGCCACTAGCGCCTTCCCATCCGCCGTGTAACCGCTCTCCTCCTTCTTGCAGCCATGGCAGCCGATCAATCCCCATAACCCTCTGTGAGCTACAGAGTATGAGGCCCACCATACCGCATTGGAAGGGGCGTATGTCAGGATTGAAATCCCGAAACCTCTGTACAATCCCCTCACTCCATAGCTACACACTATCTTTCTGAAGGCGTCTATTCCGCCACTGTAGCTCTTCAACCCAACTTGTCCTCCTTCAGTTACGAATCCTAACAGATGCAAAATAATGAAACAATTTATTTCAAACACCTCGGTTTGATAAATGCAAACAAAACCATCAACTTCTCTTAAATTTACCTCACGTGAAAGAGGGGAAATATGCCATTTTGTAAATGCTTCAACATGTCTAAATATGGCTAAAGTTTGATTGACATACTGATTTGACTTCATCAACTAAAAAAAAAGTTTACATTGAGTCGAAGGAAAGGAAAGGAATGAAATTCATTTTGGGATTACGCATTTCTGTCATTCTAGCCAAAAAAAAGTAGGCAAAATTTCTTTCTAATTCGGCCAATTCATCGAAACCATAACAATAGTTACCGTTTTATTACTATTTCATCTATAAATCGGTCAAAAGCCAAAACTGATATCACTAGATTTTTAAATTTTAATGCATGGCTCAATTTTTAATGTCAATGTGCATGGTAGTTAACAAAAACAAAAACTAGGTAGCACATCACCTTGAACCATTAGCCTCTGACTCACAACATCTATGGGAGTCCACACTAGCTGAGCTGCCATGGCCGCACTCAGACCGGCAGCCGCATTGGCTATGGCAGCCGCTGTGGCATCGGAGAACCCCAGCTGAACGGTGGCGTTTCCTACATTACTCTTGGTCATCTCTAACGCGCCCATGTAAAGTGCACGCGCCGGGATGGTTCCGGTGAGGGAAGTTCCAAATCCCCTGTAAAATCCCCGGAACCCTTCGTTCTTCAAGATCGAATTGGCCATCTTCAGGCAAGGGATTTGAGACGCTACCACCTGCTGCCGAGTTTTTAGCACCACCACCGGATAGAGCGTCGCCGATACGCCGGAGAATAACGCCGCCCCGAGGAAGAAGAACTTAGATTTATCAAGCATCTCCCAGTCTATGTCGGCCGGAAGATGGATTTCCGACGCGGAATCGTCCGAAGCTGTTCTCAAACTCATTTTCGCCACTTTTTTCAACAAATTACACTTCAAAACACACCCAATATATACATCACAGCGCCCAAATCGACACAGACCACAGGACAAGAAAAACCCTAAGCTTTCCGGGGAAAAACAAAATCCAGAATATCACAAACCAAGCAAAATAAAAACGACCCATTTCCATTCTATTGGAGTTGTAAAATGGGTCGAGCTTAATAACTTGTATAAAGGGCGCACATAGCTATAAACTGAAACGTATGTACATGTATGATTGATATGGCCTCTCGTCTTCAAGACATGTCACAAAACCTCACCGTGAGGAAACGGAGAACAAGAGGATGAACGAGTGAAAAGCGTGCGAGAAAAGAGGATATGATAATGACTTTGAGAGAGAAAACAAAGATGAAGCTTTTTTGCAGTGAGGAAACAGAGATGGCGGCGGAAGATGGATTTCCGAAGCGCTTATGCGGAGGGTTTCCTGTGGATCTGAGGGGAACGTACACGTGTCGGTTATCATGGATGGATAAATATGGATGTGATCCAACCGTGGATGTGCTGCATCTATCTATATTTATGTTTTCCTGTATTTCAGCTCTCATTGGTAGGAACTAGGAATAGGCCGAACAGCAGCATTCAGAGTATTTTTTTTTGGTTAGGACTAATCCCGAATTCTCTTGACGGATATAAATTGGTTTTCAGACTTCTCCTATATCTTCCGAGAGAATCACTGTTAGATTGCTCAAATATCATCACTTTTTCAAAGATAAATATAGTTTGCCAAGTGTATTTATCTTTGTATAAACGATTGATTTTCAAAGGGAACTATGACTCCGAATTGTTTCATCACACACAATTCACTTTTTCAAAGTCACCGATAATTTCCCTAACTAAAATGAAAATAAATTGTTTATGCACAGACAAAACACATTTAGCGAGTAATGGGCGTGTAAGTCGGCGTGTACGAGTATCATTCTCGTTGGAGAGATAGAAGACGTCTTTTACACTTAAAATGTTTTACTTGAACTAAAATTTGCTGGTATGATTGATTTATTTAAGTCTTGTTTGGTCTGATTTGAACTGAATTGGTTTAATAAATGTATGATCCATTTGTTTAAGATCTATTTAAAAATATACGCAGTATAAATTTAGGGAACTTAACAACCGCTTACGGCTTAGCAATGGAAAACTCGGGAAGTACTTCCAGTTTCCATATTTTCACGCTTAAAAATTCACTGAAGCTCCTGTTCAATCTGTATCCAGTTTGAGAAATGTCAACCATTTTCACACCAACCTCTTCTTCATAACCAGAATCCGTCAGAGCAAATCAAGATAGACCTTGCCCTTATTCAAACGAAAACATTGAATCGTATATAAATGGACAGAATATAAGTTTTGTCATAGAATAAAAATAGCCTCAGTGCTCAAACGAATCTCTTTTTCTTCTGCCTAGAACACCCACAATAACGATTCAAAAGAATTGTCATACCCAGATGTCTCGCCTTTGAGCACCAAAATCGATTCTCCCATGTTGGGGCGGGTACAAATGGAGGAGGGAAATGGGGAAGGTGACGATCCGCCGATTTCGGAATCGGGGCAATCGGATTGGTGGGCAAATTTCTACAGAGATATATTGGCGGGGGCGGTGATGGGAGGTGTGGTTCACACAATCGTGGCTCCCATAGAGAGGGCAAAGCTTCTGTTGCAGACACAGGAAAGTAACATGGCAATCTTGGCGGGGGGAACTCATAAAAAGTTTAAGGGTATGTTGGATTGTATAGTGAGGATTGTTAGGGAAGAAGGGTTTCTCTCTTTGTGGAGAGGGAACGGAAGCAGCGTTATCAGATACTATCCTTCTGTTGCTCTCAATTTCTCCCTAAAGGTACCTTCCCTGGCTTACACCCCCATTCCTTAACTAGTGTTTCTTTTAACCTTTTGTGGTCTTACAAAATTGTGGGTTTTTTTGTTGATAAAGCATATCAGGAAGGTTCTTTATGTGCAGTTTAATTGGTGTTGGTAAACATATGTCAAGTGGTTAATGCAAAAGTTACTCTTGATTGGAAGTGAGCAATTAGCTCATATTCCTTGATAAGCATAGATTTATAAATACAAGCTCATCAGACAAGATTCTTGATTTAGGCGGTAGTTAAGGAGGGTGTGTCTGGATCATGGGTGTGATTGGGAAAACGGGAAGATTTAATCAAGGGAATTATTTTCTTTGAAAATGACAAAAGGAAAAATAATAATTTATTGTCTTCGAAGCCATATTTTTATTTCGGGCCAGATTTTCTTTGCCTTTATGTTCTCTTGCCTATTATTCCCATGGTATTTTCCTATTTCAAGAAGCGTTAGTGTGATTCTTATTTGGCTGGAACGTTGCAGCCACAATGATGCATAGGAACTCCAGGTAGGTAGGAGTTTTCATGTTTTACAAACGTTTAAGAAACTCCATGGAAAACCTGTGACAAACTAGTAACTATTTTCCGGTGTCATGTTTTTCCTATTTCCAGTGCCTCCCTCATTGGACATTGCTTAGTTAATGATCAATGTGTCACAGTATTACTTTGCAGTTCAATCCTAAACTAAATGGCTTGGTGATTTGGGAGGTTTAGATCGCTTAGTTAGACTGAGGTTGGTAACTGCTAAGTTTATATACTTCTTGGCTGATTATGAAGAGGTCAATCTTGTAGTTTTCATGTAATGTGTTTCGTGTTAGTGCTTTTTGTGCTCCAATATGTCAAAACAGTGTGATCATGAGCAAATTTAGTTCTGTGCTGAAACCCTATTGCAATGGAAAATCAACTGGCTAGACAGACAAAAGGATTACTAATAATAAAAATGATAATAACAAAAGCAATTCTAATAATGCTCCATTGTCTCCAAATATTTTTCTTATTATTGTCAATTTGTTATTATTTTCCTTTAATTCTTAAGGAGTATTATAAACACCAAAAATCTCCACACATTCAATCAGCTCTTAATTTTATCTCATTAATAGTTAGTCTTACAGGCAGGTTTGGAAGCAAGTAAACAGTTTGTGTCTACCCATGTCTCATTCATTCCCCTTGTTGATAGTTTAATATGATGTTTCCTGATGCCACTTAATATGAAAGTGGTTCTTAGGATTGAGTTAATTCATTCCCCGCTGTTCTTTTTTTTTCTTTTCGCTAGTTATTTTCACAGGAAATTGGAGTAAAATGTCTTTGTACACAAATGCTGCGGGCAAAATAATATTCCCGGCTTCGAGGAACAGCACACCCTCTTAGTTCCTCTGGTGAAAATAACTTCATTAACTTCATCTTGAGATAATAGTTCAACAGTATTTAAACTGAGGATTTGGTTGCAAATTTACAATATGGAAGGGATTGTGTAATGATCTTCTGCATGAAACAAAGAAGTTGTTTTCTTGTAACGAGTCAATTGGTTTTGGCTCGAGCAAAAGCAATGTACTTTCTATATTCAGGCATGAAGATTGAAGGCTGTAAGACATTCCATAGAAGTGTTAAGAGTCCCACATCACATGCAGTAGAAAAGTTTCAGTCAAATCAACTCCGTTAGTTTTTCTGATGATAGGTAATTTGTTATTTCTTTCTTTCTGAGTTTCGAATATGCTGCTCATCATAGGGGTACAATACTGTAGATTACAAGAGTTAGCCTTGTTGTGTAAGTTCTGCCACAAAGTAAAGTCTGTGCGTGTATTTCTTTCATCTTGTCGTGTATTCTGAAAGCGCAAAATGCAGCATTTTGGACTTTCCTTCTCACTTATGCTCTAATATATTATGGAAATGTAATTTTCTGTACTCATCTTTGACTTAAACTTTCTCTAATTCTCTAGATACTTGTTACCACGGAAGTTTGAATTTTCCCGGCTACCAAAGTAGTTTGTCACTAATGTATCATACTATCATGTGATTATGACACTGATTTGTGTCCGCTATCTTAATAATCATGTGTGATTTCGAACTTTGATAATCGATGGCCAAAAGCTTATATTTTGCAGGACCTCTATAGGAATATCCTGCACAGCAACTACGACAAGGGACACTTCTTGGCAGGCCCATCTGCCAATTTCATCGCGGGGGCCGCGGCCGGATGTACAACGCTAGTAATCATCTACCCCCTAGATATTGCGCACACACGTCTTGCCGCTGACCTTGGGAGAACTGACATGCGCCAATTCCGAGGCATCTCCCACTTCTTAAGAACGATCCATAATAAAGACGGGATTCGCGGGGTCTACCGTGGCCTCCCTGCCTCTCTGCATGGGATGATCATCCACCGCGGCCTCTACTTTGGTGGTTTTGACACCTTAAAAGATATGATGATGATGTCATCATCCAAACCAGAAGTGGCGTTGTGGAAACGCTGGGTGGCGGCTCAGGGGGTCACGACATTAGCCGGGCTTTTGTCGTATCCACTCGATACAGTCCGTAGACGAATGATGATGCAGTCCGGATCGGGGGCGCCGCCCATGTACCGGAACACATTGGATTGCTGGAAGAAGATTTACAGGATGGAGGGACCCACTTCTTTCTATCGTGGAGCTCTTTCGAATGTATTCAGGAGTGCTGGAGCGGCCGCCGTGCTGGTTTTGTATGATGAGGTTAAGAAGTTCATGGATTGGACCGGTTTGTAGCAAAATATGTAATACGCAGTAGTTAATATATGAACTCACTGATTTTGAAAGGACACTGGTTTTTTTTCTTAGTTTAAGTTTTTAAAAAACATTTGCCATCCCCAATCACTATTAATTCCATTGCTCTCATGAAAGGGCGGCGGGGCATAAAAAATGGAAATAAAGAGGATTGCTGATTATCATTCATTCATTCCCCAAAAATGATACTCCGTATTTAACTCGCTCATACGATAGTATATTGATCTACTGGCTGAAAATAATGTTTTACTTTTGTTTTTGTATCCTGATTTACCAATCCAAACAACCCACAACATTGTTTGGAATTTGGATCAAGGAAAATTGTAGGTCTGTTTTACATTTGGGGGTCATTTGATAACACTGAAGTTGGTTGAATTGGTCGATTCTACTTAAATTTATGAAGTTCCGGTTATGTGGTTGACTTTGCTAATTATGAAAAAAATTGTATTTAAAATATATTTTATTGATGAAACAGAATAAATAAATTATAAGAACAAATACGTAGCTAAAATGGTCTTCTGTGATAACATCTGTCAATCAGTCACAAAAATTATTACAATCTTACTTATTTTGGTTATTGCACAACTAAGCGTGTGAAATCAAAAGTTACTTGTTTGACAAGAAAATGGTTGATTAGACTTATAACTCAAAAAAATAGGGTCACCAAACGGGTTCTTGAAAAATCAGGGGAGATGTGATTTTTTAAATCATGTATGTTTAGACTTTGTATTATAACTAAGTTTATGTTTCAATTAACATTGAAGTCTAATTATGGAAAGATAAACATATAAGGATTAAAAAAATCAAGTCTTGTATGTTATGAGTGTGATGTCTTGATATTTAACAGTTTTCTGTAATTGATGTGAATCCTAACGAGATTCACACATAGTAAAATTACATTTCCCGTCATCGTAATCCAAGATAGAGATATAAGTGATATCGTACTTATAAGCGTACACATAAATACTATATAAGTATTTAACTCTAGTAAATGTTGAGGTGAAATCATGATGTTTTGGTCATTGAGCCCTAGTGATGTCTTGATTTTTGATGGGATTTTCAGTCGTGAACCATTACGAGACGCACACGTAGTAAAATAGGATTTTCAGTTGTGAACCGTATCAAGACACACGTAGTAAAACTACAATTCCTACCATCTTAATCCAAGTGAGAGATATAATAGTGACATCGTACTTATAAGCTTTCACAAGAAATAAGTATTGACTCTAGTAAATTTTGAGGTGATGACGTGTTGGCCATTTTGTTGGCCTTTAAGAAAAATCAATACATGTATATTATTGCATACTTTATGATGGAGTATATTGTCATATACTTCGAGGATCCAAACAAGATGGTCCAATGCAGTAGCTCAAGTCATTAGCACTGTGAGTCGATGCTTTGCGCCAAGTCCGAGATCTCACCTTAAGATATCTCTTTGCTAGCGGGCACATTCCATCCCGGGTCGAGCTACTTCTCTGAGGCCGAGTCTGATGATTACCACTACAATATTCCGCACAGACGCTATCGGGCGAGGTTGAGCGGACTTGATCCGCCTCGGCTAGATTATTATTTCTACACTTAGCTGTCTCTCGGACGTTCCAGACATGTTCACATCCATGACTTACATCATTGTGGTCCACTTCCTCAAAGGATGGCACCATCGTGATATCACTGTGCAGTTTATGTCACCTTGCCATTTCCTCTTTAGCCATTTTGGATTTAAGGTCTAAGCATTGTATTTTGTCTATATACAACCACATTCTCCTTTGGGAAAGAGACATGAAATTCATTTTACTATTATGATGCCAAATTTAATAAGCATCTTTCACACTCTAGATTCGCTCTAGCTTCTCTCTAGATATTCATTGTCCCAGGTTCCATAACCCATCACTTTAGTTTCACACCCTTAACTTTCAGAAACCAAAGTTTTTCCTATGGATCGACCTGATATTTTATCTGTATTTACTTCTACAATATGTACTTAGACTTGCAAGTTCAGCCCGATCAGCAATAGTCGCTCCGCATGTAGAACTTACGCAAGCCTATATTTCATATAAAACAGAGAATATGTTCGAAGGGGTTGAACTATTCACATAAGCCTGGATTGTAAGGATAGAGCTAAACTTTTCAACTGGGGAGTTGCCAAATCCGTTCGAAAACGAAAAAAATGTCCACGTCGAGTATAATCACTTCTCTTATAAATAGGAGTTAAATCCATAGTGAAAAAGAACACTTGCTTTGAAAATATTGACTTATACTCTTGATTAGTTGCAAAATATTCTTATTTCTTAATATTCATTTGATGTTGTACAGTTGTATATGACCCCAACAATCACATAATTCTTTTAACTAGTTTTAGCTTACGTAAATTAGCTTAAACAATGTATAGTAATGAAACCGACAACTACACGCTAACTCGAGCCTTAGTTTGAAGGTGCTCATCCTCAAGTCAGCATGGTGGCCGGCGGGAAGAAATTGTGACCGAGAAGATACACAATGCAATTCATTACCCAAAACATTTTTGCTTCCTTCACTCAAGTAAATAGACCTTAGCCAAAACATTCTTACTTCAAATATCATTTCATCTAGCTATATCGGAATATTGTATTCCTCAACTTCTCACTCAAAATTGAAGGAATAAGGGAGTCATCATATTATCTTCCCCGACCAAACTAGAATGCATTCAATGCACTTAAATAGTCGGTCCTATGAAGACATTTGACTACCACTCGATGAACAATACCACGAACCCCATGGCAGCCATCTTTGCACAATAACGAAAAATGAAGGAAATGATCAATGGAATTTATGGAGTTCCAGCCCAGACATGTTACCCTGAGTCGCTTTTTAGAAATTCAATCACTGGCAAGGTGATGCCAAAGAAATTCATCATATTGTCTATGAAGCACTTTGATGTAACCCCAGATCCCAAAGAACATGTCGCATAGTACAAGCAAGGATGCTAGTTGTCTCCGTCAAGCTTGAACACAGAGAGGCGTGCATATGCCGAGGTTTTAGTGAAATGTTAATGGCACCTACCGTGACTTGGTTTGTGAACTTACTGAATGGGGGCTTCGGCTCATTTGGTAAACTCGTTAAGCTTTCATTTAGGAATTCGCCAGTAGAAGGATATTGAAAAGACTGGCCAGCAACCTCTATCAAGTCACACAAAGACATGGTGAACCCCTTAGGGATTGCTTTATTCAACAAAAAGAATGTATCAATCGCGAGATGTGACATCTCCACCGCAATTGAAGCATTTAGTAGAGGTAGTTTGGAGACTTGGAGACAGCAAATGCGCTTCGAACTCAAACGCGAGATGACCTTGATGTTCGATTCACTAATCGAGTCGAGCTTGAGCATAGTAGTATTTGGGTCGGTTCGAGCTCGAGCTTATTGAACACCCTGAAATTCTAGGTATAATTTATATATATGTCAAAGTTTATATGTAATTAGTATGATTTTATAAATTTTAATATGATTATAACAAATCGAGTACTTGTTGAATACTTCGGGCAAAAGCCTATTAATGAGAATCACCTAAAATATTAGGTTCAAGTAAATTTATTGAGTTACGGTTCAAACGTCGCACATCTTTTGAGCCGGACATGAGCCCTATTTTTTAAAGCTCGTCATGCTTCGAGTTCAAACTTGAACACCACTATTACCGAACCAATTCAAACTCAAGCTCTAGGTGATTGAGCTCATCTTGGTTCGTTATAGCCTAACTCGGAGTTGTACCATGAAATGATGGCATGTCCCTCTCGGTCCTTCGAAAATGTCCACGCAAAGATGTTAGCCTTCATCTATCTAGAGGAATACTTATGATCCGGGCACAAAAAATATGAATATGAAAGGTGCAGAGGAAGTCAAACTCTTCCAAAATGCAGGAGTACAGGCTTGGAAAACCATATTCAAGATTGAGGAATGAGTCGTTACTTCCATGACGAATTGGAGGAATGACTCGAATGTGCCTCCTATCATTAGTGTGTTGCTTCAGTGTTGGGGTTAGAGGCCTCATTAGAGAAGCCACGAGACAAGTAAGATGATCCAACAAGTCTAATAAGTTTACAGGACGAGGAGATCCCAATGAAAGGTGTGAGTTCCATGACGATGTCGGCCATACATTGGATGAGTATGTGGCTTTGAGAAAGAAGTTTTCCTGCATACTAAAGAATGGCTATCTTACAGAACGCATCCCCCGCACCCGCCGCACCCCGCCCATCGACGTCCACTCCATACAAGGTAAATTATTTTAGTAATGGTGGTTTAGATATTTGTGGACCAACCTATTTTATAGCAAAAAGGAATGCCATAAAAATTGTCAGGACAAGTCGTTTAACATTTGTAGGGTGGAGACCAAAAAAAGAAGATTGAAAGAAGCTTTCGATCTTGTTCAACGAGTCAAATAATATAGTCTCAATACAGACTCATAATGATGCATCAATGATATTGCGTCGGGAGGCCAACTCCATGGTCAGGCAGGTGTTGGTAGATAACCAACATCACTACTCTAAGCATGTTAAAAGAAATGGGAATAAGCAAAATCAAAATTAAAAAGACTGAGTGCACTCTGGTCAGATTCAATACGGAACCATGTTAAATGACTAACAGTGTCCACATGCAAATGTACGCCCAAGGCAATGAAGGCATTAACCTACAGGTGGAGGTTGACATAGTGCACCGATTGTGTGCTTATAATATGATCGTAGGCACCCTTTGGCTCCACCAAATGGGGGAATCCTATCCACCCTTCACCAGACTGTCGAATTCTCGACACCCAAAGGAGTACGGGAAATCAAAAGAGACGGAAAAGTAGCCAAACATGCTATCAAACACCCTTTAACAAACCAAACAAACAAGTCATATCAATTACTAAGCGTTCGAGAACAAGAAGATGAAGACGACAGAACCGCTGAAGAAATTGTCTTGAGGTCTAGATGATCATGAATGAATTGTCGAAATCAGCAACAATCTAATGGATCGTGCAAGAGACAAACTCATCGAATTCCTCAAAGTCAACATCGGTTTCTTTGTTGGAGCCATGAAGACTTGACAAGGATCGATCTGGAAGTGATAACTTGCATACTTGACGTCAATCCTGCCTTCAAGGTTGTTCGACAAAGGTGGAGGAAGTTTGCCTAGGAAAGAAACGAGATCATGCATGAAGAAATCCAACAACTCCTTAAAACGGGCCAGATTCGCGA